TCTTCGCGTCGCAAAACCCCTCTGAGCCTACGGAAATTGTGAATAATATCAAAGGAAGAGTCCGCATTAACTCGTGCAATGCATGCTGCCTTGAGTTGTTCACAGAGCTTGATTAGCTCCATGGTACTCAACTTTGGTTTATCGTGACCAATAGTGGTATTCAAAGTTAAAAAAGATAAAGAAAAGACAAGGTCTGGAAAGTTGCAAAACACTATTGAAACTCCGAATTATAACTCCGTTTTGCTTACACATCACTGTCATACTATGCTGATAAGATCAGCCCACTGCTATGCCTCGCATATCGCTTCGAAAACAACAACTACAGGCCCTCAAAAATACACACAATGACCTTATATTAGCTCGCTACATCGAGCTTGTGCAATACGCACTTGATGAGCTTTTGGAAGAACCAGATTCTGAAGATGACAGTTACAGCGCCTCCTCAAATGACAGTGGTGGATCCATCAGTATGTCAGTTTGTTCGATGTTGTCGGATGCATCTTTGGACTCCCTGATGTCGGGTGTCACAATCACAAGTGCCTACTCCTCCCAGCTCTCGTCAGATGGGCCACAGATGGCCGGTCGAGCCTTTACGGAGTTTATAGATGCTGTTCGTGCTTTGGCTGACGAAGTAGAGACCAGCCGTATTCTTAATGCGAGACCCAAACTTAGCCGCGCCCCACAACTGCACCTGCTGCCAGAATGGGGTATGCATGCCCCTGATAAATTTTTGCGAAAGCTTCGTGTGTCCCCTGCTGTTTTCAACAAACTCATTGAACATATCCAGCCACACGCAATCTTCTACAACAATTCGAACAACCCACAGCTTCCTATTCCTATTCAACTTGCGATTTTTCTCAACGGCATAGGCCACTATGGAAATGCTGCCACGACGCAGGATCTGGCTGAATGGGCAGGAGTGTCCGTTGGAACCGTGTACAACTGTTTCAAACGAGTGATGATTGCAATTTTGAAGCACCATGACGATGCGATCCATTTTGATCCACTCGACCAAGAAGATCAGGAGGAACAGAAAAGGGCACAACAGTGGGTTGAGGGGAGGACATGCCGAGAATGGCGTGGTGGCTTCCTCTGCGTCGATGGCACTCCTTTCAACTTATTTCAGAAGCCTGGGTGGCACGGGGAAGGGTTTTTTGACAAAAATTCGAACTACTCTCTTACCGCTCAGGTACGTTAATTTTTTTCATTTCATCAGATGAGCTTACACCTTCTAAAGGTCGTTATTCTCCCGCACAATCTCCGGATTGTTGACTATGTGATTGGCGTACCTGGTAGCCTTCACAACTCGAACGTTTTTGGACGAACGAGGGTCGCACAAAACCCAGATGATTTTTTTGGTGCGAACCAGTGGCTGTGGGCTGACTCTGCGTATGCTTCGCAAGTATGGTGCATCACACCATTCAAACGACCCCCTGGGGGGGCGTTGACGAGGGATCAAAAAATGTTCAACTATCACCTTTCTAAGGTGAGTACCCCCTCTTGCGGATGAATGGCTTCGGAATGTCGTTCTCCTGCGGATGAATGGCTTTGGAATATCGTCCTCCTGCAGATGAATGGCTTTGGAATGTCGCTCTCCTGCAGATGAATGGCTTCGGAATATCATTCTGCTCAAGTTTGAAACATCACTTACATATTTGTAGGTCCGCGTTCGGTCTGAACACTTTTTCGGTTCAATCAAAGGCTGATTCCAGAGCCTACGAGAGCTTCGGTTTCCGATCCAAGGCAAGAAAGAACTGGATTACTCCAATATGTGGATCCGCTGCTGTCTGATTTTGCACAACTTGATTATTGAGATCGAGGAGACTCTCGGCATTGCAAGTACTGGTAACGATTTCTACGAGGAGCTGACTGGGCAGAGGATGGATCTGAACGTGGACGAGGACGAGGATGAGGCGGGGCAGGGTGATGAGACTTATATTGGGACAGCGGGACAAGATTTTCGCAATGCTTTAATGGCACATTTACTTCTCATGCTCCAGTAGACGTAGCGGCGAAATTTGTGTATTAAAACACTGGCAGTACTCGAACAACATCTAATTATCAACAAAAACGCGACAATGATAACGTGTGAAGTAACAAACCGAGAGGACATGCAACAAGCAACGCACGAAGATGACAACACGATACTCAATCTTGGTCTGGCAAGCCCCGCTCCATTGCAATACGCCGAATCCTTGCCTCCTCCTCTTCTCGACGTGCACGGGTGAGCTCAAGCTCAAGCCTTGCATGCTCCAGTTGGTGACCCATGAGCTCACATTTGTGTAAGTGGTCTTGCTCAGCAAGATGCATAGCGTGTTCTCGCTCGTCATGAGCATTGCACACTTTGAGTTCTCTAGCCCACATATCACTCTCAAGCTTCATCCGCTTATAACGATCGTGCTTGACACGACCATCACGCTTTTCGCCAACTTGCTGGATCAGCACCTGCACTGTTTCAGAGAGCTGCTTGGCAGCAGCAGTAGTCGAAGCTTGATCATTGTTGGCGCGTTTGCGTGATGGAGGATGGGACAAGGTAGCTTGAGGTGATTGAGGCGATGCGCTACGAGTAGTTCCTCCAGATAGCTTCATGATTTGTGATCCTGGACGTCCTCGACAAGGACTTGCTTTACGTGAGTCAACCCGCAAACGATTCATTGCATTGCTGGCACTGATATCAGAGTCAGAGTCATGTGGCGTGGTGTTGTGGTTGGAAGTTGGTTGCTTGAAGCTTGAAAAAAAAGAATATTGGCTGTCGGATTGGTCATCATGTGGAAGCTCCGGCGAATTGAGTGATATGGCATCTTGGTCGGAATAACGTGTTGAGATTGGAGTGATGGGTGGGCGAAGACGCGGCAAGGAAGTGTATGAGCCTGTAGAGGTAGATCCACGAAAAAAACCGGGGGTTGATGATGAAGAGCTGGTGCTTGTTGCACGTGGAAGAACCAATCTGACTGTTCCATCTCGATATCGTCATCTACTTGTCCTGCAGCATTTGCATTGGTGGTGTCAACGGGGATGATATCTTCTCAACAGGCGTCGACATTTGTGTCAACATCACCCGTGTCGATAATTTCCCCGTCTTCGATATCAGCATCCTCTTTTGGTTCATTTTCATCGGCAGGGAGTTGTGCGTCCTCACGGTCAGGCATACGGAAGTGTTGTAGCGCGGCGGATTCATGGTTTTGCCCAGGGTCAGTGGTTGAGAATATAGTGTTGTAGGCAGGATTTGTCCTCCACCAACCATGAAGGTCCGGCCACCATGGGAACTTGTTCAGTTGCGAATCTGCAAGAGATAAATAAATAAAAGTACAATTGAGAGACGCGCACGAGAACAACCTACCGATGAGTGTCTTGGTCTGCGGGTTCTTCTGTAGCTCATCATATGTCAATCCAGCACCTGTCTGCTTGAGGGACTTGTTGAATTCATTGTATTTTCTTTTGAGCCTGAAGCATCTGATCAGTAACAAAACAGTATAAATTTGTAATTCGCAACAGACACAAGAAGATTTTGGAGGTACTCACGTTCCAAACTGAGTCTGGACAGGCTTTGTCTGGAAGAGGCGCCGTACTTCAGGATCCTCGTCATTTGAAAATATAGCATTTGCGAGCTGCGAGTAGTATGTTTCCTTTGGAGTACTGCTCTGTGTTACAGTAACATGGCATGAGTCCCCTGCCAGCAGAACAGCCCTCTGCCACCGTACAGCTATAGACAATACCGGAGTCTCACCAGCTCTATGACAATAGATGACGATAAGCGGCAACTGCCGGCTTAGATAAGCGGTCTGGACCGCACGTGACGACACATGACGACATAGGTCTAGAAGACCTATTTATGTTATCAAGATAGAAGGCAAGCCTCGTGCTGCCTCATGTACTGATAGAAGGATGCCTCATGGATCCTATCTACGATAGAAGCCCGCCTCATGGATGCTATCTCTGACTCATGTAGATAAGCAGATTAGAACCCAGCTTTAGGCTGAGCTTAGATACGAAGAGTAGCCTTATATAAGGTCGAAGATTAACAGTAGACGTTCCTTACTTTAATCTTACTAGGTTTACCCTTGAACTCCTTGTCCCGCTAAAGCTACCTGCTCGACATCGACTCGTACCTTCAGTGACGCCTCTCACTGTCTGTAAACCGCTATCATCTCAGCGTAACCCCTCGTTAACCACCACGAGCTACGTTCGAGTACGCAACCTTTGCTTGTCTGTAAAGGCCGACGACTCTCAGCACTCGGTACCACTGTCGTGGTTGTCGCTGTTAGATTATCCTAGTCGCACACGACCATGTGTCATAACACTCTGCTTCTTCTTCCTCCCCTGGTCTTTGGCATCCTTCACAGAATCGAAGAAGAGTTTTATGCGTGCATCATCATTAGTTTTGCACCAGGCGATGAGCCGCGAGGTGCGAGCACTGTAAGCCCCCTCCCAATAGATAGCCAGCTTCTTCGTGGTGTTGGGAGTAGGACTAATCTCAGGTTGTGGGCCATCATCTTCATCTGCTGGTGCAACTGTACTTGCAGGAGCTTTCCCCTTTGCTCGTCTGGATTGTGTTTGACCGCGATTTCCTTCGGCTCAACCTCTAGCAGCATGTGCCATCTTCTAAATGGTTCCCTGAGAACAGACAAAGTGACAAATAAAGGGCGATTGGGGATCGGATAACACCAGCAAGGTCGACAGCGACGACAGCATTGATGGCTGCATCAGGAAAATCATAAAAATTCTTAGCCAACTTATCTTACTTATGTTTACTTGAAACAATACTAAGTGCACCAAGTCATGTAAGAAGATCATTTCTACTTAATTTCTACTTAGAGAATTCTTCACAAAGGAAATACAAGAAAGAAATCTGCGAATCAAGTGTTATTCAGAATTTTAAGTAGGCAGGTGATAATAAGTGAAATTTGAGATCTACTAAGTAGTAGACTCACTCAGAGTATCATTACTAAGCAGAAAACATAAGTTGATTTCAGCTAAACAATAATAAGTACTACGATAAGTCAAAATGCGATCTCATATGCATGATGATCAATGAAATTGTTGACATAATAAGTGCAAAAAGCGTTGAGTGTCTGCAAGTAAGTGAGATTGGTTGGCACAAAGTCGCCCCCAAATACTGGTATAAGGTGGGCCGCACGAAATATACTATCAAGGTGGATGACAGACACACAGCATGCTCCATCTTCAAGAAGCTCTGGCTCTACAACCCACATTCCCGTAATTTCATCTGGGGAGTCAGCCACACGTTTGAACCACTGTACAAGTGCACAAGGGTACGTGATACCATCATGCTTCAAAGAAAAAAATAGTCTCACTCGAGCAATGTCGAGGCCGCGCATGCCATCGGCAGACGAATCAGTGCTAACAAAGACACAATCATAGCGCCCAGGGCCATTTCTCCACGTATCTACAGCGCGAATACACTCGTAGCGCATACCGCCAATCCCCGATAAATCACTAGGAGCAAAGAAGGTGGCCACGGCTGAAGTGTACAGTGTGATCTTTTCATAGATCTCAGGAAGTGCAGACCGGGAGGAGTCAGAGCTAGATGAGTCAGAGTCAGCATGGCATTGGTCACGCAGAAAATGCTGAATCAAAGTTGTGAAGTTGGGTTGACCTATCTGATCTGCAATGAGCTCTGGGTAGATCCGTCTGGCTGTAGTAAGGTGTATGGTGAGCGGAAGCATGCAAGTATACACAAAACTACTTACCAGCTGTCTTCGCCAGGTCAACATGGGCAAGGACCATTGGCCCATCAACAGCATCAGCATCAGGCTCAGCATTGGTGTTACCCTCACCCTCGTCTGCACTACCTTCGCCATCATTAGTTGCATGATGGTAGCGTCCAAAAGGCTCATCCTGGTCTGGGACATCTTGTTCGATGTGTGCTTCCAATGGAGCATTTAGTATCCCTGTGAATTGTAAAGGTGGTGATTAGTGTTGGCGAGCCCAGCATCATGAAAATCACATACCAAGTTTGTTGAGGATGTATGACAAACATGTCCCTCGTAGCATCCCGTGGTCAACAAAATCAACGCGTGAAGCGGCTAGCTTGTCGAGACGCTGATTGGTAAGTAACATTTGACTGAGAGCCTCGAAACGACTCGACCGGCGCCATGGCTCCTTGACGGCTTTAATGTGTTTGGACTCTGTTATAGACGAACAAAGCCCATTTGGTGCGCCGAACGCTCGAATGAGCTTATGGTAATGGATGAGTGAATGTTGTCGAGGGAGATTAAATCCTCTGGGTCGAACACCGGATGTTCGGAATATCTCGCGGTACCTGTGGAAACGCTTCAAGGCATCGTCCATTGCATCAAGGCTGTTAGAGCTGATGATGCGGCGAGCGATGTAGATGAAGTTGAGTAACGCTCGCAAAGCCTGTACCATCTCTTTGGGTACATGACCTTCGATAGCAGGTATATAGACCTGGGCAGTAAATGCGCATTAAAAATATTAGTACTGTTGCTATGTAAAATATAAGAATATCGGTACAGACCTTCATGAGAGCTTTTGAGTCGTCACCAGTCCACTGTTTGAATCCTCTACCCTCTGGAAATCGTCGAAGGCCTGCAAACGCTGGAGCTAGAGCGATGCTAGTTGTGTGACACATACTACTATTCAGCAGCAGCAGCAGCTTGAAGTGAATTTGAAGATAAACTTACCGACGGTCAATGTCGTCCAGTATCTTGTTCGCGTTGGCTTCTGTATATTGAGCTTCGATGTAGTCGTGCACCCAACTAACTAGGTGGTCCTTGAACGCTCCCTTGATGAGCTGGTGTAAGATATCTGGGGAGAGAAGCTCGTGTATGTCGGCGCGTGGAAAGTAATTAGTGAATGGCTGTATCAATAGTGTAAGTTCAAAAGAGACGAGTAGATGAAGTATTGTACACACCACAATGTCTCCAACAAGGCCATATTCATCCCACAGAACACCTAGTTCAAATTCCTCAACCAAAACTTCGGTGTGATTGCGGGAACGTCGGCCATATGTGCCTTCATCGAGACCATCTGCTGGTGCGGTGCATCTGCCGGTGTAAGAGCACCATAGTCCTACTTAGCATAGGGACACGAAGAATAAGACAAAAACGTACTTTGGACACCAATTTTGTACAATACATGCAAGCAGTGCTTGCTCGGGATAGTCAGCTATGTATGGTCCAAGACCATACACAGCTCGTCGAAAGTGGCCATCAGGGCAACGGACAACCTCCGGTTTGGTCATGCCAGGTTTGAGGGTTTCAAGCATTTTTGCAAGTGACGAGTGTAGAAGCTGGCGGCGGAACTTTCGGAAGTGTGCGTCCTTGGTGTCTTCATTATCAGCTAAGTAAATCAGTACCACATTAGTAACAGTAGCGCACACAATTAGTAGAGAGTATGTACCTTTTGGAATGGCTAAGAAGCCAAGTAGTACGACACCATTGCGGTGTGCACGCCGCACATTGTTGCGGATGTTGCCAATGGACATATAGACCGGCCAATATTGGTTATGGCCAGTGGCGACAGAGACTGTTGTCTTGTCACTTCCAAGGATAATAGGGACGAACATCGATCCTATTGTATCCGGATCTTGCGCAATTAAGTCCTGCAGTGAATAATAGAAGTGAGACAACAACGCGAAGGAGTAAGTGAGCAACACTTACGGCCTGTTTCCAACACCAGTCGCCAGACATAAAGTCCTGAAATTGATGCGCTCCATCACTAACGCTATACTCCTGTAGTGGTGCATAGTCGAATTCATCCTTGAAATCCGGGTTTGATATGATGTTGTGAACCAGGAGCCGAGGGTCTCGGAACCATACGTCATACTCAGACTTCATCCATGATGGAATGTCATCCGGGTCGTCAGGTAAAATTCCGTTGTACTGCGAGCTGAAGCTTTGCCAGGGAACATCACCGAGAGGAGTTGAATCGATGGTGTCGTACATGTCAGTGTGGTTTGTGAATGGCGGGGTATCACCGTGAGCTGCTAATGAAGCTGCCCACAGATTGAATACAAAATCAATATCGCCTGCAGACATTTGGTTGCGACGGTACAGGAAATCAGCAACTTCAAACTCGACACGATCGTTGTATGGCGTCTGTTACAGGGATCTGTAACACCTACTAGAGCCCCAGCTCTCCCTACGCCTGCCCCCGCTCTGCTAGACTCCCCGCGCGGCGGTGCGCCGCCTGCGCCTAGAAAGACAGCGGTCTGGACCGCTATGACCCCGCCTGGCGCTATGACCCCGCCCCTGGCCTAGACGGCCTTGTACCTGATCCATGGAGGCTGTACGCCTCATGGTCACCCTAGATCAGCGCATGCATACTGCATGTCGCTTCATGAAGATCCGGAGCGCGCTTGGCGCTTCCTGTACCTATGCGCAGCTGCCCTTGGCGCAGCATGCTTGATCAGAGGTTAAGCCTCATGTATCTTATCTGACCCTCATGTCTTGCTATCATAGATTTACGATATACTATTGATTACAGACTGAGCTAGAATACTTGTAGTACTTCCCTATAAGTAGACACAGATTATTGTACTTAGACTTTACTTTAATCTACTAGGTTCATCCCCAGAACTTGCTCATCTAAGCTTACCAGCTTCCTTGTGTGAGACCGCACTTCTAAGTCGCCCCCATACGACTTAGCACGTATCCGCTAGCCCTGCATCTCGACGAGCGCCGTCTTACCGAGATCGCCGGAGGAATCCTTGACGTTCCGTCAAGGCTAGACCACGCTCAGCTTCAGTAGAATCACTCGAGTCGTCGCTGAGAAGACCTATCCTAGTTCGCACACGCCGACCTACAGTCAGCGTAACAGCGTCCAGTCGTCAGATCCACGATCTGATGGGCGTGGAGGTGGTGGAGCATCTGGGGGTATGGGATTCCCTTGACCATCGCAGATTCTCCCTTTGTAGAGGAGAATTGAGCATAAATTGTATGAGCATCAAGAGAAGTCATGTACCGTTAATGATGGGATGATATGACCTAGTTACCTGAGGTCGACTCCAAGCTTGGCTGTCAGAACTAGCACTACTACCAGGAGGCTGATCTACATCCAAGCCACCTGTAGAGTCTGCCGGCGGCTCAGCAGAATGCCGATCCTCAAAGGTATCGTGTGGTGCATCATACTCAAAATCATGATGGCTGCCATGACCATCCTCAATGACATCCTCCAAGTCAGGTGGATTGAACACCATATCAAAATCACGACCGCCACTAGCCTGAGTGCGACTGTCAGAAGCTCCCTCTGATCTGCTCCGGCTGCGCGAATGATATGTTGAGTCAAATAAGGGACGTTCAGGGCCAGACTGAGACGCCGATGATGAATTGCGCTTGCAACTAGCAGGTGGGGGAGAACTACTGGAACTGGAGGATGAATGGTGTGGCAGTCGGAAAGTCTGTGATTCATGCTGTGATCGCATGTGGGAAGTGCGCCCGGACCTATTATGGAAATGGCGGGTGCAGCCTACTGCTAAGCATGGTAGTGTAGGCTGACGATGGCTAAGGGTGCGCATTTTGCGAATATGGAGGTTGGTACTGGATGGTATAGTGTGATGGTGTAGAACTGGCGGGGTAATGAGAGCCTACAAGTCTGAGCTTCAGAGGTGCATGCGGCATGATATTTATATGCAAACTTACCTTAGCATAAGAGCCTGTGAAGGCGCCACTTGAAGCGCGAGGTGTATGCGTTGTTGGGAGCAGTGAGAACCTTCCAAAAGTAACATGAGGCAATGGTACAACAAACATGCATACTACGTACCAACAATGAGGCAGCCATTAAGTTGGACAGCATGAATGATCACCAGGAGATCCAGATCGGGAAAAGGGCAGGGTAGTGGGCTCTTCTAGAGAAAGTGTTTGACATGCGGACTGCAGGCTAGCAAAAGTGGCAAGATTGACACGCACAAGTTCAATTGCAGAGTTCCATTCAACATCTGGGCGAAGTGATAATGATGCGAGTGGGGGATGAAGACGAAGCTGAAACGATGCGAGTGAGAGATGAAGACGAAGCTGAAACGATGCGAGTGAGAGATGAAGACGAAGCTGAAACGATGCGAGTAAGAGATGAAGATGAAGCTGAAATGATGCGAGTGGGGGATGAAGACGAAGCTGAAACGATGTGAGTGAGAGATGAAGACGAAGCTGAAATGATGCGAGTGAGAGATGAAGACGAAGCTGAAACGATGCGAGTAAGAGATGAAGATGAAGCTGAAATGATGCGAGTGGGGATGAAGACGAAGCTGAAATGATGTGAGTGAGGGATGCAAGTCAGGGATGAAGACGAAACTGAAACGATGCGAGTGGGGGATGAGTTGACGAGCGGCTACTAAAGACTGACCAAGGGTGCGGGATGATAGCCCATTCTGGAATGGGGCACACTCTGAGCATTGCGGAATGGAGAGGGATGGGTAGGTAGTATGGGATCATGTACAGCAGCCATAGTGAGCAGAACGGGCTGGATGATGGTGTCGTGAAGGATGATGGTCCAATTTGCCGTCATCGGTTGCCTGATCTAGCACTGCAGGTTAGTGCGAATATGACGAGCGGCTACTAAAGACTGACCAAGGGTGCGGGATGATAGCCCATTCTGGAATGGGGCACACTCTGAGCATTGCGGAATGGAGAGGGATGGGCAGGTAGTATGGGACTATGTACAGCAGCCATAGTGAGTGGAATGGAGAGGGATGGGCAGGTAGTATGGGACCATGTACAGCAGCCATAGTGAGCGGAATGGAGAGGGATGGGCAGGTAGTATGGGACCATGTACAGCAGCCATAGTGAGCAGAACGGGCTGGAGGGATGAAGATGAAGCTGAAATGATGTGAGTGGGGGATGAAGACGAAGCTGAAACGATGCGAGTGGGGGATGAAGACGAAGCTGAAACGATGCGAGTGGAGGATGAAGACGAAGCTGAAACGATGCGAAGACTGCCGTATCAATCGCAGAGTTCCATTCAACATCTGGGTGAACATTGAGAAGACTGCTGTATCTGGCATAATAAACTCATATTAGCGTTCTCTGAACCACTGAATAGACATGAGCACATACCGAGGAACATGCTTGCCTGCAGGCTAGAAAATGTGGCGAGATTGTCACGCACAAGTTCAATCGCAGAGTTCCATTCGACATCTGGGTGAGCATTGATTAGCTCTGTAGATAAAAAAAGATCGATATCAGTTGTATAGATATCATTGAACACATACCAGAGCGGGAGTCCAATGCCAGTGTGCCATGCTGGTGAGGCATGGCAAAACCCTAAGTCCCGATTTGAACCACTTTAGTTAGTATTACGACTACCACCATCGTAAAGTTGACGAAATTTGCTCACCTTTCACGTCTTGCTCCTTCCACCACTCCGACTCACCAATGTCTACTCGCCGTGTTACCCGCACCAAGAATGCAACTCAGCGTCCTGGTCTTGTAGACGCGGTCCCGAAGAAGAAACGTCGCACGGCTGCAGACGTAGCTGCTGAGCGTCAGGCTAAGTTAGATGCCAAAGAAGAAAAGGAACGTGCCAAGGGCGCTGGGATCAAGCATGTTGCTGAATATGAGAAGAAACAAGCAGAAAAGGATGCGTCAACCGATGCTACCCCGCGGGCTGCAGTCTTACCGAAGTCAAAGCCCTGTCCAAAGCCCATTCCAAAGAAGACTCGTGCAAAATCACTCACTCCGCCTCCTGAAGACGACGGATTCATTTCTGATGTCGAGATGGACGATGCCGCCATTGACACCAGCACCTACAACCCAGATCCATCCCAAGCCTCAGAAACAACTGACACCCGCATGGATGGCTCAGAGTTGAGTGAAACTCCTACTTCGCCACCAAAAAAGAAGGCAAGGATCGACAAACGGGAGGGCAAGAAGGTGCCGGCTGAGAAGACTAAGGTGCGGGATGCTATTAAGGTGGCGCAACTGGAAGAGGCAAATGAGCAGGAGACGAGGAAGAAGAGGAAGACAGCCCAACCTCCCAGCACAATAAGCATTGACTCAGATACGGAGTCGAATGTCCTGGTCATTGATGCGACGCCTACAGCAGCTCACAGCAAAAGATCAGCCCTTCAGCAAGCCGATCACTCGGATGACGAACCTATGCTTACTGATATCCCAGCTAAGCCTCAGTGGGCAATGCCAGCATTGAGCAATGAGAACACACCTAAGGCGCAGCCTCGTGGTAGTCAGACTGAGGAAAGGGGTAGCAGGAAGGTGATGGAGAAGGCGAAGGTGAAGGTGACGGAGAAGGCGAAGGAGAAGTCAGATGATAAGGGGAAGGGGAAGCAGCAACATGATAAGAAATCGGTTCAGCCGAAAAGGTACGAAGTTCCCTTCTTCTTTTCCTGTCGTCACTTGTCCATCAATATCATGCTCACTCTCGACGAAACGACACTTTATTATTTTTTTCTCAGTGATTCTGCTAGTGCTATGGACTCAAAGGAATTTTCAACTGGCATCAATGATTGGGCTGCGAGCATCCCAGAGAACTCAAAGCCTGGTAGCAAGGCCAACACCAGCCAGCCCAGCATTTTTAAAAATAGATCAGCCTCGCGCCGCAATGGATCCGTTCTTCCCCCCCTGACCAATGGCAGCACTCGATCATCGTCCAACTCAGTCCTGACTAACAACGTTTTGATTTCTCACGCAGAACCGGTCATTCGCATCAAAGAAGAACCCAAGAAGAACTATCACCTTGGAGTCATTGATGGAGGGCTCTCTGACGAGGATGAGACTCAAGGTCTCAAACGTGAGGCTGCAGTCGCCAGCCCTCCCAAAGGGAAAAAACGAGTTACGAGCTCAGTAAGTGTCTGTTTTGATGTCATGTTTATTTCTACTACTACTGACTACTACAGGCTCTTGTTAAAGATTCCCCCGTCAAGCCAATAGCCCGTCAAACTGAACGAGCGAAGAAACCCAGCAATGACGACCTCCCCGAAGGCATCGATCCCAAAATCTGGCGCCGTGTCTTTATCTCGACATACATACAATATGTCGCGACATTGGCGAATCCCTGGGAGGTTCCCGCCAAGCTGGCCTGTGAGAAGATGCAGGTGATATGGGATGCGATCTTTCCCCATATCGGCCACACAGTGACAAGCCTTAGTTCAGTCTACTACATCGTAAGTGCGCTCAATTTTACTAACACAGTACTAACTTAGATCTACTTCAATATAGGCTGTCCAGCGAGTTGCCAACTCCTACCGCAGCAACATTGGCTCTGCAGCTATCGCAATTGTCATTGCGTACTTTGAGTCTCAGGACTCGCTGAGGGACTCTGATGACAATCGTGCAGAATTCGCAGTGTTCACACTCAGCAACCTTCGATTCTTATACAAGAAGGCAAATGGTGATGACAAGTCTGTACGTACTCCTTCCGTCTCAATCAATTTCCGAGTTGTTGTTGTTGTTGTGCTAATGCTTAACGCAGAAATTCCGGGGCCTTTATCAAGGCGCATTTGTTGTGCAAACCTTCGGTGCACACTTCACCGCAACCCGTGGTGCCCAAAAGATACCTGGGGTAGACAAGCCAGGTGTACTAGCAAATCCTGCTGGGGGTCTCGCATTGTCATGTGCTGCGGTAAGTACTCATCATCCTATTTATTCTCGAAACTCACGAACTGACAATTTTAACTAGGTCGAACGAGCTTTAACTCTCTGGTCTACTCGTACTCTCACCATCAAAATGGTTCAGGCCGCGAAGAACAAAACCAGCATCTCGTTGCCGAAGACGATGAATCAGTCGACTGGCAAGGTGTCCTGTCGGCAAACAGGATTCAACGACATCTCCTGGGGTACATCGACGCGCGCCTATGCGAAGGCTATCATGAAGAATCTCCGCGAAGACAAGTTCGAAGTCATCATTGCATCTGCCATGGAATTCTCGAAGAAGAAGAGTCGTCCTGGCGATGACATTGATGATGCTGCTGTGGAGGATGACCTTGATCTGGATGAACACGCTCAGCTGGTGGGCATATCCGACACCGAGTCCGAGGGAAATGATGGATCTGACTCGGATGTGGAGTAGGAGCCTCAAAGTCGCTTGTTCATTCCTCCTTGAAGCTGGCACCGGTGATTCTTGTTTTTTTTCGTTGTTTTACTAGTACTACTTTGCACAACTTGAATGCTACTGCATGTGACTTGAACAGATTCTTATCATGCTGCATTTGACTTATCTCAGTGATTTTATGTCCTTAAGGGTGCGCTCAAGCTCAGTTCAGGACCTTTCAGAGCGTAGTAAAGTAGTTTGAGGTACATTAAGTGGTGCGCATGCAATAAACAGCCCTAAGTCACCCATGCAAAAGTTCAGTTGTTTTTTACTTAATATTGACTTTTGAAGCTTTGGAGCCTGAAAGTACTTTGAAACAGTCTTTCTGCTAGTAGTAGCCTCAGTAGTACCGTACTACTAGTACTTCCTTTCACTTAGCTCTAATAATAAGCACAGTAATCAGAGCAGCTAAGTCACATTCAGCCGAAGACCCTACTACCTTTCACTTAGCTCTAATAATAAGCACAGCAATCAGAGCAGCTAAGTCAGATTCATCCGAAGACCCTACTTGTGGCAAGTCACAATCCCCTTAATGTTTTTTGGCTGAATCCGACTTAAAATATTTATTAAGTGATGCTAAGTTTATCTAAGGTTCATTAAGAATTTTTTTGATTTTCCTGATGTGGTTGATGGGCAGGACGGCGGTTAGAGTCGGTCTCTCAGTTTCCCATGCATGATTTGGTAGAGAACGGCACGTTTGTTGCAGACAAAACCCTCCTCCACTACCGTGGGAGTCGGGAACCATTGAGTTAGTACTAGATGCGCATTAATGAAAAAATTTCATGCTACTTGCAGGATCTCCGACCACCCCGGGCCTTAGTAAACTAGGTGTCATACTGTATATTGGACCACCAAACACTATACATTATACATTATACAATATCCTGGCCATTTCCCCGCATACCACAACGGGAGCCACCCAAACCCAATACAATATGAAAAATATACATTATTACCATATATGTTATGAGCAAGTCTACTGTATTAGACATATGACCGACAGAGGTAAGTTTTGTATCACATGACCGACACTGAATCGCGTGCTGCGGCAGCGGATCGTTATTCAATTGATCAATCAATCCTTTTTGCAACATATTTATCATTCAACTTGTCATACCAGGAACTTTGCACGTCCTCCTTCATTCCTTGTTAACCACTCCTTGAAAATCAACCGGTGATAACTCTACAACACAATAGCAATCCCTACCATGTCAAGGACTCCTCGGTTTACTGATGGTAATGCTTGTGGTGTCGCATGATGTCACGCCATGTCATTTGGAATGCCACTCCAGCAACCACCATGACACACAAAACTGCTCTTCGTCGTGTCCCGCTCGCCCTTCGCTGTTCTACACAGTTCCAAACCTCTTTCCGATTCAGTAAGTTGTCAGTAGAATGACACAACCTATAGTATGGCTATTCTTACTACTCACATGTAGGATTTTGACTCGATAATCCTGGATAAACTATATCCTTCCAATAAGGTGACTACTGCAGCAATGTAACTCGTTGAGTGCACCAAAGTTAATGGCAAGGCTTACTCACGACTCGACTCGCAGGATGTATGTCGCATTGTATCTGGTTCAGAAGACGAGACTATCCATGTGTGGGATATGGGCGAGCAAGTGGGTGCCTCTCTCCAAGGTCACACTCACTGGGTTCACACTGTTGCGATCTCCTCAGATGGTAATCACATCATGTCTGGCTTGTATGACCAGACTGTCCGGGTGTGGGATGTGAGCGAGGTAGTAGCCACTATTCGATGGCACGCCGGACACATTCGGTCTGTTGCAATCTCCCCTGATGGCAAACGCATTGTGTCTGGGTCAGACGACAAGACCATCCAGGTGTGGGATCTAGAATTTCTAATCCGGCAGCACCGATCATTTGAAGCACCTACAATATGTTTCTCATCCGACTTGACTCACGCACTTCACTCCACCTCCTCCTTTCTCCAAGATTCCAAGTTTCAAATCCCAGCCCCATCCTCATCCTCATCCTCTGAATGAGTCCGAGTTCGAATCTGAAACCCCAGTCCCTTACATCCCGAACAAAGAGGGATGGATCATAGGTCCTGAAGGACAACTTCTCCTCTGGATCCCGCTCAATTTCCACCCGGTGGTGTATGCCCCAGGCAATACCCTGGTGATACCCAGCAATGCCCTGCAGCTGGACTTGAGTCATGTCGCACACGGCACATCATGGCACATTGTCGCAAAGAGTAATAGGTCACATTGTCTTCACGTTTGTATCTGTGGTCGGACTTTGGGCATGTACTTATGTTGATTGATTGAAGTTTTATTCCCATTCTACAAATTCCACACAATACCTGTTTACCATCTCGCACTCCTTCATTCCGTTCTACTTAATGGGATCGCACTCGCAAAACAGTTTAGGGCTGTAAGAAGATTTCATTCACTATGTTTTACATACTCTCCTCCCATCGCGTTAGAATTCCTTTCCCGTGCGAAATAAACTGTGCAAGTCGCAACTCAATGTGATCTTGAACAACCACTCGACAAGGGTCACTTTGCCTCATCCAGTTCCATCTTCTCCCCTCACCACATTTCATTGCCTCCTTTTCCAGATAGATGGCTCACTGCAATTAAGCTCGAAGTCGTGCCCAATAGCATAAACGGTGCTATCATCCAACTACCCGAACAACTTTCGACGGAGATGAATTACAGACAGTTCAGACGTAAGCAGCTGCTCGTCCGCAATCAGCCTGTTCTGAGCATATCAAGGAACACTGCGCTTACGATGTGTATTCACCGGGAGAACGGAAGAACAAGTAGGCGATGGTGATCGGAGGGGGTGAGGCGAAGACGAAGCTGCGTGTGGAAGTTGGTGTTGGAAAAGGATGGTTGGGCGTCGACTACTGTTTAGAAGTTGGCTTTGTAATACCATATGTTAGAACGGGGTATAAAGCCGCAAGATGAGACCAATCACCGTAGCACATATCTTTGACACAAACAGGCTCTTTGTCGCGATGCATGATGCTTTGCTATGCCTACTTCAGAAGGATTTTGGTTTGCAAAGGTTATCGGGGTAGCAACGCGCCATGATAAAGTTGGCTTGATAAGGGGCACAGTAGGATGGGGTGTATGGCATATTCGACTGATGCGATAGCATGTTGTTACAGATCTAAATTGCATACCATGTAGACGATAAAAATTCACAAGGAAAACCGCAGCGGGAACGACTCGTCCTTGTCCCTATAATGCGAACTATACTCATCACTGGGAGTACATCATCAGCCTCCATGCACTTAGGAGCAACAGTGAAAGACTACTCACATAGTACGTTTTCCTACTGCCCAATCATCAATGGCACTGCGACTTGGAGAACATTAATATTGGTTATATGGAGGATTATGTGCCAACCCATTCACTGAGGCAATCATTTCCGATATTCTCGCTCCCTTGTTTCCACTAAACAGGGGACCCCGCCTGCGGATAGAAGAGGAAGTGAAATGGGTAGCCTAGGTAGACGTGAAACTTTAACATTGAGAGCAAATATATTATTAGACTCACGCTGTTTACATCATGTGACTGACGCATCTCTTCAAACGTTCACTTGCAGAAAATCGATCATGGCCGTAAGTCTGTACAAGTCTGTACAGGCCCTTAGTAGTTTGCTAACGAAAACAAATATCAAAACTACTCAAACAAGGTATGTGTCAACACAACTCGAACTGGAAAAAGGACGCATCAAATATAGGTACACCGAGAGTACTGTGACACGAAAAGAACACCTAGGAGACTGATTGGTAGTTGGCCTAAGTCAGAACATAGAAAAGGACAACGACGGGTCTTTCACTGTATACATATTACTCTGCCATTCGTAAAGCGGCACCCAGGAGTCCCGAATGAACATGAGAACGTGGCGAAATACTGCAGGGAAAGACCGTAACGGAACTAGATTGGTGAAGATATTAGTAACCGGATAAAATAACACAAGAAAGCAAGTACTGAAATAGTCCCGTCGAGAATTCGGGGGTGAATTCGATCACCTGGTCATTTTTGGCAAAAGAAAACTCCACCGTGGCCAACATGGTAACGATAGCAGACCACGCTGAGGCATCAGCAGCATACCGGCCTGATCAAAGAATGCATTGGCTCATCACATGCAATACGGCAATGAAATAACGCAACCTACCTGGACATCTACGTCGGCCTAAGCCAAAACAATATTCAGCTGGATCGTCGTCCGTCAGCGCACCATCGGCGTCCATGAACCTCTCTGGCATAAACACAGATGCATTGGGGTACCGCTTTTCATCCCGTGTAATTCCCCTGCAATATAACGTCAGCATCTCGAAACCTGGACAGAATGTATCTGACCATATATTGCACATGACAGTCGCTCCTGATGTATGATGTTACCGATGATCTGCTCATTAGACAAAAATGGCAAACCTTTTGGAATGAAGTAACCGTCATATATATCATCACCCGAGGTGGCATGTAGCGCTATGATATCATCTTTAGTGCAGGCTTGATCCCTCAGCGAGGAAGATTACCAATGGGTGCAACAGGCTGCCATCGCAAAGTCTCCCGCAGAACTGATTCGATATATGGTAGTGACGCTCTGTCTTCAAATGTAGGCAAGCGGTCCCGCCCAACCACTGAGTCGATCTCCGCTTGTGCGCGTTTTTGAACATCTGGGTAAGACACCATGGCAAGAGCAAAAGCCATCAATAACGAAGTACTCTGCGAAGACATTCAGTGGTGGACAATATGGTTTGGACATCCACTAACCGTCTCGTATGAACCTACGTAGATATGCATCAAAGAGCAGTATACTGTCCCTTGTAAAAGATGACGAACCTGCAATAGCAGAAGTAGCTGCTTTCTTCAAGGCACTCTCAAACAATGGTCTAGATGTGTGATCCTGCTTCTCCATTCGTTGAAGATTTTCTGCCACCATTGAAAACTGACCAAGGGCCAAGTCTTCCGCCTTGACGGCCATGCAATTAACAGCTAGGACAAAACTAATATTTATTAAAACGAAAGATGCCTACCATATGCTGCTGCGTATATCGAAACGGCACCTCCGTCATTTCAGTCATGAGATTGGTCGAAGCTTGGGCCTCGCGTTTGAGCGAGGATCCCCAACACCAGTCAGGTAACTTCAGTACTGCATCAGAGTACAGAATGTCAACTATTTTTCATGAGAAAAAGAAAAAGAGATGAGTTCACAGAAGGGGAAGGTTTTGAGCAAGATTGCTCTCTCTGAGGTCGCCACCCGAAGGCCAATAGCCAGTGCATTTTCTACGATTCGGACCAGAGGATCATCACGAGGACTGGTTTGGTAGCCGTATGTCACTGATATCGCAACTGATGACGAGAGTCTATGAACAGGTTAACAATCATTCGATGTTTACAAACACGTTGACTGACGTTGCGAAGTGAGAATGATAATGTTCAGGGTCATCAATTAGATTAACGATCATCTCACGGGCCCGCTTGATCTGCATTGGACGAAACTTGAGTGCAGAGTCGGTATGGAAAGTTTGGTGGAAGAGTCGTCGGCAAAGACGCCATTCGTCACCATAGCCTGTGAATCCAAAGACGACCAACCAACCAAACCTGTCTGTACTTCATAATGATTAAATGGAAGAATGTCAGAAGAACGCACGGCTCAAGTGTGGCTATGTATGGTCTATCGGAGTAAATGCGAGAACGCTTGTCCAGTAAAGCTTTCGCAACGTGCTGAGAATTGATCACCACGACTTCCTGGCCTAAAAGTCGCACGAAAAACAAGTCTCCTGATATGATGATTTGCACAACATATGCACCATGGTACTGTCTGATCACGTACCATAAGCAGCAGCCCATTTAGTATAAGTCAACCAAGGTTCCTTGGTGTCTATCGATAAGACATTTCCTAACAGTGGGAGCGGCACTGGGCCAGGGGGAAGTTTATTTTGTCTGTTCCTAATGAATCGCTTGAGGGATGTGATGAAAACAAAGGAAGCAGGTAGTAAGACGGCGAGCACAACAAGGCGAGCATCGACTGAAGAAAACATGGTTAAAGCGGTGTGTGGATATTCAAGGTGCGACAGACATCAAGTTGTAACTGCACTTGAAAAGCCGCTTACTACCACACCGAGAGCTTATTAAGTTAGTATGCTTATCTGTGCTTTGCTGCGGTTGGGTACTCGGGCATGACGGGGAGGATGACTAAGCGCGTGCCCAGGTGCAGACAGGCTTGACGCTGACGCGGTCTGTGGGACAGTGCTGAGGAACCCTGAGGGAAGGGAGATGAGGGCGGAGGTGGCTAGAATGGACAGCCAATCAATATATTATCAGGTTTGGCAAGCGAGAAACGTGTGCCATCATCATGACCGGCTGAACTGCATACATGGAGGTGTATGTGCGTATTGGTGCTCCATCATTAATGGGCTCCTGCGGGTAGTACGGTAGATCAAGAACGAATCTATTATTGGACTCACATCATGTGAGGGTTTTGTATCACATGACCGACGCGTCCTGTTTTGAATCGCGTGCCGTGGATCGTTGTTTAATCAATCCTCTGTATAACATATTTATCATTCAACTTGTCATACCAGGAAGCTGTTACAACTTTGCACGTCCTCCTTCGTTCCTTGTTAACCACTCCTTGAAAATTAACCAGTGATAACTTCACAACACGACCAACATGCTTGCCTTGGTCACCACGACAGCCCTCGCATTGACTTCTCCTGTCACTCTAAAGAATCCTCCATCTTTCCTTCCAATAACCCAGCCTCTTCTATCTCAATATATAGCATCAGCATGGTCCCCCGATAACTCATCTCTCTATCTTGCCTCTCCCTTTAGCATTGATCGCTTCATGACCTCCCAAAGCCGATTGGATAAGGCCATATACGTGCAGTCCAGGGAGGAAAGTGAGATAAATACTATGGCAGTAACTCCGTCAGGAAATATAGTACTGGGCGTCGGGAGGAAGGTGGTTATGCTGGAATACGCAGCTGGATCAGCAAAAGTGCTCAAAACCCTCGAATCCCATGGAACAACGATTACCGCGCTGGTTGTGTCAAACGACAGTATGCTCATTGCTTCCGCCTCTTCAAAGGGCGTGCATATTCACAATCTACTCGTCCCTGCCAAACATACATCTCTCCCCCTCCCCACAAGTGCTCCTAGGTCTGTGAGCACCATGACATTCCATCCTCATGTTCGAACCCGCCTCCTTCTTGGTCTTGGCCATGATATACTGGTTTACGACGTGGACAAGCCTTCCGCGCCTGTGAAATGTATCAGCATTGGACGGGACGTAGTGGGCATCGCGTGCAGCCCGTTTAGCAAGACGCTGGTTGCTGTTGCCAGCACAAACAGCGTTAGCCTTGTTGATTTGGATAAGGATAAGGGGTACATACACACGTGTTCTATTTCATTATGCACTAACTCCCTTGACATAGGTTATTCAAGACAGTCTTGTCCCCGGAACTCATTACCTCGATCACATTTTCACCCGAGGGTGCAGCTATCTACCTCGGTATGCGGGATGGACTAAGGATTCTCAATCTCAGAGAGCTGGACAAGGAGATGAAGAGGGTTTCTGTGGGCGAGACTGGACAAGGAGTACTATGTCTCGCTGTTCAGGTACGTATCTTTGGCACACACTAGCAATTCGCTATCTTTCCCAATCTAACGACAAAAGCAGAAACGATTAAAAACTGCGTCGGCTGTTAAACCGAGTATTTCCAATCCAGCAAACTCCTCTCCTGTACGTGCTCGTGCCAAAGTAGCCTCAAGCGTTCGTTCTCCTCTCCGACCTGTGACGGCTGCTGTACCGAGAAAGAATGGGATATCGTCAATAAAATCACCCATTTCTGGGACACCTAAGAAGCAGAATTCTCTAGAGACCAGTACGCCAACTAGGCGTGTCTCAAATCGAGGTGCTTTCTCACCGTCGAGGAATCCTATATCACCGCATGGTGGCAGGAGCACCGAAAGTTCTAGTGGGTTACCTTTTATGCAGTATACATGTAGAGAACGCTAACATGCGTCTCAAAAACTAGTAACTAGTGCACTACGCAGTAGTGTGTCTACATCGCGGGAAAACATCTTTGATGATGCAAGTGATACCCCAATGCGATCGAATACACGGGCCGCATCTTCCCAAAAGTCTAGGCTTTTGGGTATCCATGCGCACCCTGCTGAGTCGATCTCCACTAGACTGGCTTCGATGCGCACAGGATAAAACGAGAGAGGACGAGGGTTGCTTCTGGATCATCCACTCGTTCTGAGATTACAAGGACGTCGTCGAACTTAATTGTTGGCACGAGAACCAAAGGGTCTTCGCTAAAGCGCGCCCCGTCGACAATATCGATCTCTTCATCGAAGACGAGGGAAAAGCGCTCGCTCAAAGACGCCTGCCAATGAAGACGAGGATGCACGCACAGAAATCTCGTCTCCGGATTTGCCGATAGACCCCTGTAACCCCCGTGGCCGACATAAAGAGACAGTCAGTAAGAATAGTCGTTGAAGCCAAAACCGAGGGTAAGAACAAGTGTAGGGAGGACGAGGAACAGAGACGGGCAGCACAGGCCTTAATGTTATCGGTACCGCAAAGTCCAGGGGAAGTAAGGATAAGGGAAAGGGCAAAGAAGTCAATGTGGATGCGGAAGATGTTGGCAAGTACGAGGAATTAAACGCCGCGGAAAAAGACGAAGAAGAGGCGCAAGTGACTCGCGAGCGCGAGCTCTCGATGCAAGTTTCCCCTCGCCGACCCGTGGCACAGACCTGGGTTCCATCACCGCTCCGGCGAAATTCAGGCACGTTTCCTATGCAATCTGGAGCAAGCGGTGCATACGAGCTCTTCCGGGGGCTCATTGTGGACATGCAGACCAAAACCACGCAGACATAAAAGCGCTGCACGTTGACATGCTGCGAATGGGGCGCGGGCTTCGGCAGGAGATGGAGGAGTGGGGTGGGGAGGTGAAAAAGTTGAGGGAGGAGAATCAGAGGTTGCGGGAGAAAATGATAGGCTGAGGAGAGGGTACTGAGCGTCCCTGAGGTTATTTTTTGGGAGATGGACCGGTGTATTGGTTTGTATGATACCCTTTCGCAACACACTAGTGTAGCCAGTAGGATGTTGTAAGATCCTTCCCAGTGCTCCGCTTCTCACCAATAATGTGATGTGCTCCGATCGGATGATTCTCTACGTCTCGAGGGATCAATTGACAATGTATGAGCCAACACATGATGGAGAGAATAGCCATCGTATTTACACCACCGACGAATTTCAGCGACTGCGATCATTGAGTTGTTAACTCCCCTCTTGAAACACGGCCCCCAACAACCAAAACCTCACAACAGAGCTTCACCGAGTACGCCACTCGCCAACTTGAACCATTGCCCCACTGTTTCATTTACGGGAGAAAATCTCCAGAGCTGCGTGAGGTCCTCGTGATCAACGTGGACCTTGTCCTCTGGCGCGTGGTGAGGTATACCGGAGTGTAATCTATGCAGTGGAGAAGGGCACAGGCAAACTCTCCATCAGGGATCTGAATCCTTGTCCAATGGTGTCGGCAGGTCAATGCGACAGATCCGTGACTGGACAACATGCTCGATGTCAAGGAAGTACTTCGGCGCAAATCTCCACTGCTTGATCGACTAATATCAATCAGAATATTCTATAAGCTAGAACAAGTAAGGCTTGAGAGTCTCACCTGACAAAATTGGGAGGCTAGTGCACGCACGGTGAGCCTGCATCCTTACAACAACGTTGTTGATGAGTGCATCCTTCAGGTTTAGAAAAGTTATGAAATATGGGCATGGACAACATTAATGGCACGTGAATGTGAGATCGCGCAGTGAATACAAGACAAACCTTTCCCCAGACAAAGAGCGTAAAATAACTTGAACTCGGAGACTCCTCCGAGTCGGTCTGCAGCCGGCGTTCTCTATTCAGTGCTGGTCATGAGGTATGCTTCTTCCATCGGACGCTCCACTCATAATTCACCACCCACCTGAGCCTGGAGACTGCAACATTCTTTAAATAGTTTGACGCCCGCTATATCGATAGCAGTTTACGGTATGCTTAGCCGAGCCTCGCGCGTATATGGGCCAGTTCAGCATCTCTCGCTCCGTGTCCGCATGGTGGTCAAACTTGTAATCGCGGAATAAATTGGCTTGCAGTGCTCAGGAGAAACCATGCAATGGAGCAAAGCTGCCACTTTCAAGAACCAATGATGCTGGCAGGAACGAACATCTCATTCTCCCTCAACCTGACCCTGGATGGTGCTATTACCACAGCCAATCAGTATCAAGCGATTGATTTGTTACATTCATGTTATCACTTATCAGTACAATATGCAGGAAGAGATTTCGGGTCAACTGAGTCGAACATGGCCGGGAAATTATGGCAGGCTGAAACACAGTAAAGGCGGCCACAGCGCCTACTGAAGAAAGCTCCTGGAAGAAGCACTGAAGATGATCCGTGTACAGGACACCACGTGTCTACAGCACAGCTGACACCAGGGTTCAGGGATGGTCAGTACCTTACAGAAGATGCAACTTGACGACTACTCACTATAGCGCATGTACTAAGTGATTGCTGCTCCCTCAGTATTCCTGCTAAGCGAGACACCGAACAAGATTGAATGGTGGTCGCCACCCACAAAGCATCCACAAAAGCGCCCGCCCAGCCTGTTGAACTGACACTCAAGGGTCATGAGGAGGCTGTGGGCGAGGTAGCTTTCGTCCTCGATATCCGTCTCCTCGTCACTGGCTCAGCCGACCAGAGTCTCCGGGTGTGGGATCTGGACACGGGAAAACAAGTGGGAGAGCCCTTGTTGGGACACGATGCCGAAGTCTGGGCGGTCTCGGCGTCCCCTGATGGACGTTGGATAGCGAGTGCAGGAAGGAATGGAAGCATCCTGGTGTGGGAAGTTGTGACAAACAAGAGAGAGCTCAAAAGAGTGCCCGTCTCGTTTAAGGGCCACGAGAGAGCGGTTCATGGCATCGTATTTGCACCGGACAACAAGACATTTGCAAGTGCATCCAGCGACGAAACGGCATGCGTGTGGAAGAGGGAGACAGGAAAAATAGTCCTCGGACCACTCAAAGTGGGCAGTGATGCATACTCGGTGTCGTACTCCCCCGATGGGACGAAACTAGCAGCAGGCACAGAGGAGCACATCATCATTTGGAATTCAGCAAGTGGAGAAGAGTTGCTGAAAATAGAACAGCGGGCATGGCGAGTCGCATTCACTCCAGATGGTCTCGTCAGTGGAAACCACAAAGACATCCGAATATCAGATGCTACCACCGGAGACATCATCAAACAGTTCGACGCGCACACCGACAGATTCTTTCATTCACTAGCCATTGCTCCCAATGGCAACAAATTCACAACCACTTCACTCGACAAGACCACGCGGTTCTTTGACCTGACCACATTCGAACCCATCAGCGAGCCACTTGAGCACCCTGATCAAGTCTTTTGCGTGGCATTTTCCGAGGACAGCCAACTCATCGCTACTGGCTGTGGCGACAACATCGTTCGCACATGGACAGTTCCTCTGAGCGAGTCAGAGAAGGTGCTCCAACAGGTGAGCAAGTTCACTCGCCGTATCATACTTCACGCCCGCTGACCTGTCATATAGTCCACTCAGAAGGTACGCCGCTTTCACGCTCGTTGTTTTGTACAATCCCTAATTCCAATCCTGCAGAAAACCATCCCAGACCCACGGCCTCGCCCAAAACGCGCTCCAATACCGACTAGTAGATTCTTCGATGATGTAAGTCCATATGATACAGTAGATCTGATGCACGTCTCACCATCCTCTGACAGTTTGATCCAACTAGACGCAACAATGGCGCCGGCACTACGCGCTACGCCACAGGCTCCAAAATCAAAAACATGGTAGATCGTATTTTTTCTCGCTCCTCCGCTTCTCAGGACCAAACTCCTCGCCCACGTGGAGTTCCTCTTGTGGACGTCTTTGCAACACGAGGCAAATATGTAAGCTTTCCTGAATTATCGACATCCATGTAGTGACGTTGATAATGTCTCGCAGCGCACCGCTAATGCCCACAGTGGAAAAAGGGACAGGTTGCTGCAGCTACAACATCCTCCTCGCAACTGGCAAGCTCACGCTGGTGCCTCAAGCAGCAGCACGCCGCCAGCGGAGACATCCAATGTGGTCAATGAAACTGCGTCAGCAGCGTTGCAAACTGGAAGTACCAGACCCTCTTCCCCACTAGACGTCGCACATACCCCACACAGCAGCTGCTTTGCGGTTCTCGCAAGGTGCCTCCCATGTTTATCACGATCCGCTTCAGGTTCCCGCTAGGCTTCTTGTACCTTCTGAGCATTTTCATTGAGGTAGATGTTACTGGCTGTATTGAAAGACACTTATGCAATTCAATCGTGTTGCCGGTAGAGGATTACCATCGTACGCAGCATTCTCTTGTTCAGCTGAGTAGATACCACTCATTTGCCGGTCATACCGATTTTCTGGATTACTTACGCTAACAGAGCAAACAATGATTCGTGACTTCATCCCATACTTGCATGGCCAACCTAGTGTATTGACAAGTCATCCTGCACTTGCAGACGAATGGGTCTATTACCGAGTTTTCCTTGCTGTTTGGTGTACTAGTCACAGTTGCAAATAATCGCCGGTGGGGACATGCAGAGTCCCTAGCTTCTCATCTGCTGGACTACTGGCCCTACTGGCCCGCATCACTACCAAACTCGTTTTCACATCGCGAGGCGAATGAGTACATCATTAGTGCCGAATTTGAAATTATCATGATGGTAACGGGCAAATGAAACGCACGTGATCGTGATACGTCCGCAAGAGCATCAACACGCCTCAATCATGCATCAACCCGACAATGAGCCCAAGTTCACCAAAAGCGGACTCAGTTAGTACACTCATATTCTCCGGCGGCAAAATTGAAGGCGACTACTCATGCGAAACCAAAATATGTGAAAGTGAGCACCTGGGAGAGCTCTGCAACTTGAACCACGATCAGGAGACAGGAGACGCATGTGACAAGAAGGTCAATGTATATGTCCGACTTTTTGAAGGTGTGTCATATATCAAGATTTTATGATCAAGCATGTTGAATACGCGCATACTCAGACATGCTCGGGACTTTGATAGAAACCGAGGCACATTTATTTGACCTTCCAGAACTTGATTACTTCCAGAGATATGACAGACTTTCGCGTATGTTCACTTTCCATATCCTCATGAGCTAAACTCAGTGATAAATAGCAAATGCAAAGTTTCTTATGACGAAGCTTCTTTTGCGAAAATTCAATGCATGGCACCGTCTAGACTCCCTCAAATATGAAACTGAAATAGGTAGCAAAGAAGGGCTTATTCAAGCTATCAACGAGATATGCTTTGTACCAGGTCAAGTCAAAGTAGACACTATAGATGAAGAGGCCGTCAAGATGAGCGTAGAGGAGAGGGAAATAATAGACCTCTCGGATGATGTCTACCCACCACGTTCCCTGCCTTCACACATTCTGCAACCTCAGGAAATACTTGCACCGCACTTGTATCAACCCACACCACTTACTCCCCTTGTTATCAAGACTGAGGAAGTCCCAATACCTTTAGATGCAACACTCTCTGCTACAAACGCTCTTGCTGGTCCCTCTTCTATAAAACTCGAAGACCTCCCTATGGCTGACACCAAGCTTATGAACCACGTCGAAACACTTCCAGAGCCCGGAGTCATTCTAGCAGAGGACGAGTCTCAAATGGACCTTCCCACCCTCCTCAAGTGCCTCAAAGTCGACGAACTGCGTCGCATCGCAAAGCAGATGCGTGTCAAAACTAGTTCAAAAGTGTGTCCTCAAGTCCTTGTCACGTCTAGCCTGATCTTCTGAATCTCCGCAAATACAGTCCGAAATGATACACGCTCTTTTAAGAGGTTCTTGCACGCAGTCGACACTAATATCATCATTCGCCTGTGCTACGATGGCGTCCAAGGTTCGATCAACATCCAAAATTCCTACAAGTTTCACATCATCAGACATTCTTCGACAAACTACCCTCCCTTTTGCTCGCGAGACAGCCCAGAAACGACTGCGCGATATTGTTCTCGGTACACTCGGCAAGTGTGTGCGTGTACATGAGAGCTTTCATCGGTTCGTGAGGCGGGCAAACATAATATATTTCAGACTGTGCGTCTCTTCTTCTCCCCCTGCACCTTCTTGTGCCTTTTCGTTTCTCTATACCAGTCTAACTTATCATATAGGACTCAATCCTCTCAAAGTCTTCTTCTGCCCGCCCTGCTCTCGCGGTTTAAGAAGCGCTCCTACGCAAATATAGCCTCCACGCGTACGAAGGATATCTGGCCTACACGTGATGCTCTTCTCGCTTACGAACAAGCGCTTGATCAAGAAGAAATTGTAGATGCCATGTTCGCCGGGAACTTTGCAGCAGTGGGAACTGAGAGGGAATTTAAGACTCCAGCCGCCGATGAGCTTCGATTCAAGACACCAGTGACACCAAGCGCTGCACCTGGGGCACCACAGACACCAATTTCTACGAAGACTGTGCAGACCCCTGTATCGAACACCTTTGCAACACCTGCTTCAAGTAGCAAGGGCAGGCCGCAATCCAGATCTGGTGTGTCTGGCAACACTGAGAAATCAGACTCTGTCCGCGTGCGTGGGGCGCGACTAGTGAAGGAGATTTTCGAGGAGGTGTATCCACACTGGCAGGCTCTGGTAAAGATGAAAAATGAAGGTGGTCTTGAGGGGAAAGAGAGAGGTTATGGATTAGAGAGGTTTGAAAGCGGTATGTACATTCCATCCACCACATGCACCCACTTGCTTAACTTTTTTTGTAGGGCACGTCCTAACTCGCCTCGTCTGTAAAGGCGCGCATGCACTCGGTATTCTCGGGGAACACGAATATGAACTCAGTGTTCTCGAGTCTCTGCTTGCGCAGAGGCGGTGGCGTCGTGGACGACGGGGGAGGTGGCACGAGCGCCGGGCGCTGATCCTAGAGAAATATGTAGTCAGATATGATGACGCACTTTCGGCATGCCTCGATGCTCTAAAAGATGATGATACACATATTGGTGGGTTGGGATCCTGAAGCTAATGTTCGTTGCATCCTGACTAATTACCGGATAGTATTTCGTCCCAAACTTGACCGCCGCTTGACAGCTCTTGAAAAAAAGCTCAAAGTTGAGCCTGCAGATCGGCATACGAACGAATGGAACCTCCAACCCCTTGTGTTGGTCTCCTTTGAAGGAGTGCGCGTGCGCCACCGTGCAGCGAGTTTAAAACTCGACCGTTCCGGGCGGAATATCAATGACAGTGCCAAATCAAAAGTTTCTATCACTCAAGCAGGAGACATCACTAAATTTTTGTCACCAAAAAAGCCTGGCGTGACAAAAGTGGATGCGACGCCTGTCTCCATCAAAGCCGAGGTGAGTTCTCGTATTCTAGATGAGAAATTAAATATTGACTTGTTCCTAGATAAGGGAACGGAAGGAGGAGAAAGGAAAGTCCATCTGGGTTGGACGAGATAACCTAGAAGTGAATGTCGAGATACTCGCACTACAATGGTACGAAGACCAGGGGTTCAAAGGGTATGTCTATCTCTCGCCTTTCTCGCCTTCCACCCTCATGATCGCTCAATTCCGCAGCATACACTCAGAAACTAGAATCATCACCACCCTCTTTGGTATCCTCTTCTGGGATATCATCTTCCTCCCCATCCCCGGTGCCTTCGAGACCCCTTTCCAGACTGCACCGTTGGATATTGCAGAAGACGCATTCTATCATGCTCGACGAGAACCCATCGAAACAAGGCTCAAGGAACTCGAGGATGGACGAGGAGAGGAAATTGTGAACCGAGTAGAAGCAGAGCATAGAGCACGCAAGACGTGGTGCGTGGGTGTAGATTGGGAATTGGTAGAGGAAGGGGAGATTGTAAAGATAGTTCGTGTGAGTGTGAATTCCGTTATGGGAAGGCTGGTCATTGACGCAGTCATAGTGTCTTGGCGGGACAGCGTTGTCTGTGATATGTCATATTTTTTGTGAAGATTATGCTGGGCGCTGCTCCGGCGGTCCAGATCTCTTTGTGTGGAATGCGGATACAGGGAAATGCAAGTTCGTCGAGGTTAAGGGCCCAGGTGATAGTCTTCAGGAAAATCAAAAGGTCAATGTCAGCGAGTCCCCGCGCACGTATCTCAGCTGACATCCATAAACTACAGCTCTGGATCGACGTCCTTCTCCGAGCCGGAACAGCTGTGGAGTTGTGTTCAGTTCACGAGCAGGGTAAAGGGGATGAAAACAAGACGGGGAAGAAGGGGAAGTCAAAGGGAAACACCAAGAAGCGGCGAGGCAAAGCTAAGGATATTGTTGAATCCGACGACGAAGAAGATGAGGTGCAGCGCATGTGCGAATCTGAGGATGACGCTGATGCTCTGCCCGTTGCACCAATCCCCGTATACATGGACGACGACCAAGACGAAGGAACTTCTTCTAAACACTCTACTCGCTTACGATCCTCTGCACGCTCTCGAACGCCGAATTGTATGCCTGCAACTACCATTATTGAACCACCAATGTCCAAGAAGCGCAAGCTCGTGGAAGTCGTTATTTCCACCCCTAGCCCCAGGAAGAAGATTAAGTTCTTGCAGAACAGCGACAGTCCCGATGTTTGAAAGTCATGTTATCTTTTTTACCCTATCTTTATTTGTTTCATTTACATCCCAGTATATAGTGTATTAGTAATTCTGATATTTGTATATTTATCAGGTGTGTCGTCGAGGTGTTTATATATCCCGGTGTCATAAATAGTAGCTGAGGATGAGGAATACAGTGAGTATGACCATACACGTGGAGTGGGGAATAAGGGGGGAGATGAGTAGCAGCACAATGCGATGAATGATGAATAAAATGTGAAGAAGCAAACCATGGCATGCAATTTGAAAAGTATCATCAATCATCCTTCTTGAGAGTAGTTTTGCGACGCAGAGAGGAGAACAAACGTAGGCTGCGCTTCGGCGGGCTCTGCCGCATTGAAGGCAGGTTGCGGCTACTCTGCCTCCGCTCTGACAGATTGGTCTGCATGCGTCGCATTGCAACGCCACCTTCTTCAGTCGCAAAGTCGAATCCGCGGTATACGGAGCGAATACCAGTGGACATGTCTGTTCGGCTTGCACCGCGCGGATCTTGTGCCATCCGATCTAATGATAAGTTATCGACGCTGGAACAAGCAATCGACGCTCGTGACATGTGTGAGGATGTACGCCGCCTTGAAGACGCATACGGCTTGGAGCGCGTCGATTCACTTCGGAGTGTTGCCATGTCAAGATCGGGCCGTGTCTTCCGGATGTAGCGTAGCATCTCTAGGTCCCCAGGCGCGTAGCCCAGTTGCCATGCGCGATAGAGGTATCTTGGAAGGAGAGCGATGGCGATGACGAGGGGTTGACACAACCAGAAATAGGCCGACGTGAACAGGTAGTAATTGTTGCCGTAGACGTTAGTCACTGTCCATCCCGGGCTGATTGCGTCGTATACAGCCTGTGGCGACGTCAGTCTCATAGATGACAGAAAGAGCGCTAGGAACTTACCGTGAATATCCAGAGAATAATGATACCGATGAAGACAGCAAAGAAGACCCAGGCAGTCCAGACATTTGTGTTCAGGCCGTTGAACAAGCTGACAGCCATAACGGTGGCAAAAACCATGGTCTGCCGAGGATGACAATCAATAACAAAACATTAGTTAAATGAACAAAGCTTACCGTTGAATACTCATACAATTCGATGCCGTATCCATCAGTACGAGAAGTAGTCGTGAAGTATGTATAGGTGATGATAAAGTAGATAGGAACAGACTGCATGGATGTCAGGGGGGTAATACGACCCAAGGAAAGGTATAACGTACCTGTACGACTCCATCAATCATGTAGATGAGGAACGATTTCATAGAAAACCAAGTCCGTTCGCGACCATAGCGATACAGTTCAGGGAAGGCCATCAGAACATCGGCATCTGTGCAATTCGTTAGAAACCTGTAGCTCGTATGTCTAGTGATATGATCTTACCAACTATTCGATCAAACAGGCCAATTCCGAGGACAGGAGCAATCGTCCAGAACGAGTTCCAGAATAACAGGTAAGTATACTCAAATGCGCTTTGGGAAAAGAGTCAGCAGCTATGCAAGATTGAGACAAGTGCATAGCTCACTAGGCTGAACTCCAGCCACAATAGATCTGGAACCACCACAACACGCCGATACACACAATGTTTTTATAGAAAAAGTTCACAATCCTATAGCCGAAAAGCATCAGAACCAGTATCAAGCACAAATGAACAAACTAACATGATCCCGTTACGAGCATAAGACCAGTGACCGTGGACAAGGAGCAGTTTTTTGAGGAACCGGAACTATTTTATCATGAGCGACATGTCCAAGACTGAACCAAATCACACACCTGTGCAATAGCATAGTCCGACGAGTTGACAGCTTGCAGACCCTCCTCACCACTAATGCCGACACCAACGTCCGCAGCCTGAATCATGCTGACATCGTTCGCGCCATCACCAATAGCAAGGGTCATCACGTGAAGACCGTCCTTAACCATCTTCACCACAAGTGCTTTCTGCAGCGGAGAAACACGACAACATATGACGCCCTCGCATTGCGTAGCAAGACGGAGAAGAAGAGCCTTGTTGTTGTCATCCGGAAGGGCGTGGTCCAGCGCAGCGCCATCAATGACAAGCACAAATCCCCCAGGTCGATTACCGTTGTCGTCTCCGACGATATCACAGATCCCCAAGCTCAGCCGCCGCATGGGGAAGGCGCTGGTCGACTCTGTTGAAGGTGATTTAGACGCAATACTATGTTCATCGAGTATGCCGCTATCTGGAAAGAATTCCTCCACCGCCTGAATCATCTGGTGTTCAACCGGGCGGTCGCTACCGCGGATGATGATAATATTGGAGTCCTCGGCGATGAGATTCGTACTGCGCCCGATAGCTGCATCGAAGATTTGTCAGACAGACCCTGAAAAAGAGAATGAATACGTACCGATGGCAGTCTCGAGCTTATCACCGGTAGCAACCCAGACCTTAATTCCCGCGACCTTGAGATCAGCGATCGTTTCTGGCACACCATCCTGGAGTCGATCTTCGATGGCAGTGGCACCAAGAAGTCGCAGGTCCTGTTCTATTTCATTACAAACTGCCTCGATCTTGTCTTCACGGTCCTCCAGGGCAGTAGAGGCTTCATGATAACGTTCAGACCAGGCCTCATATTCATCCTCTGCATAAACCCTTTAGCCAAGTAGGGGCACGAGCCAAATTTAACTTACCCTGAATAACCTTGTATGCCAAAGTCAACGTCCGCAATCCAGCATTCGCAAAGTCCTCCAGATGTGCCTCAGTCGTCCGTTTCCAGTCATCTCCACCAGCCTTCAGCCGCTCAAAGATGACGTTATCCGCGCCTTTCGTAAGCAAGAACAGTCTCCCATCTTGTTCATCCAGTTTCTTGATGATGATGCTCATCCGTTTCCGTGCGCTCGTGAACTCCAGGATATTAAGCAGTTCATACCGCTCTGTCTCCTTCGAGAAAGGGGTCTGCAAAAGCAGAATCTCCTTCTCACGTCCGCGAAAGATAAACCCGACGTCCGCGGCAGCTTGGACCAGAGCAGCCTCATCAGGTGATTGTGCTTTGTACTCGATGGCGCCTGTCGCAGGGTCGACAGCGGTTAGAACAGTATGACAAAGTGCCAAGACGGAAAAAAATCCATTAAGCGACCGCGCCTGAGCAGCGTTTTCTGAATCCGGTTCGGCTTCTACTGCACGTGCGAGATCTTGGGAGAGGCGCTCATCCCTGAAATGTTTGAGGACACCGCTAGAGAGTTTGACGGCGGTGGCATCCGCAGCAGATGGGACGGCAGGATCATCCCCACGCCCGGAGGTCGAAGCATAGGAGGAGTCGTTGCTGGTTTCACGAACGACGTCTGAACTGTTTCCTAAGGTTTTCTTGATGTCGTCGTCCTCATCCTCTTCAGGATCACCGTGATAGACCGTTCCTGCGATGGAACACTCTCTAAAGACCATAGAGTTCTACAAAGAACGTTAAATCGGGATGCAGATGAGCCACAGCAAGCGTACCTGTGTCAGAGTACCGGTCTTGTCAGAAAATATGTACTCTATCTGCCCAAGGTCATCGGACAAGTTGTAACTTCGGGCAACGGTCGGTTGGTTCTTCTTTACGTAGAAAATGTCGTAGTCAAAGTAGATGAAGAGTGCCTGACACGTCTTCACAAACTCTATTGAGATGTACAGGGATATGGGTACAATGTTTTGGAACCTGTGATGATCGATCAGTTTTGAATGGAAGAAGGGATCATGAACACCAACGTGATCAGCGCAAATGCCCAAGTGATCAGCCCGTTAATCCTTGGGTTATCACTAGACACGTTATCGCCGTATAGCCAAGGGGCACCCTCTGCGTATTGCACGGCTTCGATCTGGGAATCCGCGATGCCACACACGACTGCCATAATAGCCAGAATAGCTAGATTTGCCAAGCTGGAAGCAGAGCACGAGTCAGGTACAGAAGAGACCCAAGATGGAAAAGACTTACACCTGGGGATTGATCTGCTTCTCGACTCGACTCCGCTTACTGGGCGTGCCTCCAGAATTCAGGACGATCTTAGTCTCAGCGCCAGTGAAAAGAATGACACCGATGACCCACTCCGTGTTCCGGAGTACCGTGCCGCGAAGAAGAACCGTCTGAACGTCCACTGGGGACTTTTCTCCATTGCGAGTAACGGTGGCATTGAACCTGTACATGTTCGTATCCGGTCGATCGCAGTCGATAGTGAATGGATTGAGTGTGGAAACACAAGAGGCAGCAGTATGGAGGTCAGTTAGGGCAGGACATGCGTTTCTGGACTTGAGATTCGTCTCTCCATCAAGGTTCTTGGTCTCGACAAACGCCACATTCTCGTCCTCGGAGGTGGCGCATATGAGGAGATCAGCCGGAATAGGCTCATTGTTCATGATTTTGACAAAGTCGCCAACCCGGATATCCTCCCACATGGTTTTGTGCCAATGAGGCCTAATATTTTCGCCGGCATCTCCAAACATATGATGTTCAACCTCCTCCATGGAATCCGCGCGGTCGTACTCGATATCTGGATCTTGCTTGGTTGCACTACCCGCCTCAACGTCTTTCCGCTTTGGACGGCGTCTTGGGACGATACCCCTGACGAAGGTCCGACTTTTTCTACCATTCAAATTCGGGTTAACCCAATCGCCACCGGCGAGGACGCGAACCTGAGAATGGTTGACGTGACGGTCTGACTGATGGCGTTTGACGTCCTCGTAGCCATCCTTTATAGCGGTGATACTAAGGACGATAAGGATGGGTATTATGACCAGACCTGGAGAGATGGTGGAGAACTCGGGAAAGAACTGCAGAATGGCTATGAATGCAAAGAAACTACAGGATGTGGTCAGTCATTGAGGCGGTGCAAAGAGTGGAGACACACATGTTGGCTATTCGCCTGAACTGTTCTAGGAGGTTTCTGGGCAGAAATGTTATGATTGTGTACTTGGATGAGATGACCTGGTTTGTGGGGTAGACATGCTCTTTCTTTGGCTTGCCCTTTGAATCGAAGTAGCCATCTGGGAGATTCTGGTTGAAGAAGACAGTCCGAGGTATGCCCGGGCCAGGATGGCGGGAGAATAGAGACTCTACGTTGAAGTTGACAACTTTGTTGTACAAGGCAGTAACGCTGGAGCGATACTTTGCCATATGAGCACCTGGACTCAGAGAAGGGAGGAAGGAGGAGTAGTATTAATGGAAAGAAGGGATTTGTTTATAGAGTCATAGCGTATACGTACTATTTGCCGAAGCAGCGCCCGATGACTGATTATTCATTGATGACATCTGTGGCTGACCCACGCCTCAGATCCGTTGATTCCCCTCTGTTTAGTTTCAAACTAATTTGCTCCGTCACTTGGTGCCTTGACCATGAGAGGAGTCGGGCCCCCCCTCACTCTTTTCTCTTACCTGGCCGAACTCAATACGCAGGTAATTTTACGGAACGGCGGCCTCGGAAAGGACTTATTTATGTAAAACCTTTTACTTAATAATGCAGATGACGCAAGAAAATCACTTGTATATTAAGGTATGAGATTACTAGACGCAAAATGAACGTGCAGGCGAGTAACGCAACAACTTGTAAAAAATCCATTGGAAAACAAACGAACGCAAAAGCTAGTACGGAACCAACAGGGTATCAATGTTTGGTTTGCATTTTCCTGTGCTTCATTTTAGCTTGATATTTTAATCTCAAACACTACCACTTACATCGATCGCAACCAGGGGAATAGCACTCTATTGGTTAGTGGGTGGTCTTTGCTGCACACCCTCCTTGAGAGCAAGCAATTGCTTTGAACGGAAAGCCTCATAGTGGATCTGGGCTGTCGTCTCAATTAGGTCTTGCAGGTGTGTCCTATAGTACGCCACGGTGAGAATGCGGTCCCGAAATATTCGGCATGTAGCACAAACCTCGTGAGGAAGTTTCGCAGGTGCATGAACTCGCAGTGGTTTTCATCCTCGACATTCACCACGCCCCATCGGTTCTTCCGGCCCCGCACAGACTTGCCGTCAATAATCACACTCCGCTCAGAGCCGACGACAGCGAAGGGAATCACGCTCTAAAAGGGTCTTAGCACCATCAAATGTTATTACAAACACACATACCCGGATTGATTCGTTCAACTGAATTTCTTCCTCATCTGTTTCATCCGTATCGAAGGGATACAAACGAATGTTGTGGTACACAAGCTCCGCGCGAATCTTCAATTCGGTCAGCCAATGAACCAAGGTTCATAAGATCTCACCGACCTTCTGCTTGAACGCAACCCTCTCCTCCAAGGTCAAGCTGTCCGCCTTCGCAATCACAGGCACAACGTTCACAACCTCGCTCAGCTTCTTCATCACAATGACGTCAATGGCACGAAGCGAGTGTCCCGTTGGGCTGATGAAGTACAGGCAGCAGTGGATACGCGTGTCCAGGATATAGCGGTCACGCATGGCCGTTAACTCCTTGCGTAAATACGCACTATGCTGGTCCTTGATGTACTTGACAATAGGATCCCAACTGCACGACGCCTGTTATCGACAGTCCAAAAACACACGTAAAGGAGCCTACCAGTTCTCGTTGTTGACCTGGTCGCCGTACCCAGGTGTGTCAACAATGTTGAGACGCAATTTAACGCCATTTTCAACAATAACTAGTGGAACCGCGACGTGAATACTGCGCAACATGACTTGGAAAACGTTGACTGACCATGGGAGACGGCCTGAATCTCAGTCGTCTGCCGAACAGGCTCGTCCGACTCCAACCGACCCTTCGAGTCAATAAGATGCGATGCAAAAATGGTGTTGATCAGCGTCGACTTCCCAAGACCAGTTTGTCCTAAACGCCACACGCATCATTCAACCCCGTAGATACATTAACAACCATACGACTCACCAACAACAATAACATTGAACTGGAAACCACGTTTCAAGAGCTTGTGCTCAATCTGCTGCGTGATAGAGTCGAAACCGACATAGGACGTCGCACGGATTTCCTCGACAGCTGCTGCAGCCATAGCTTCCAAATGAAATGTGGGTTGAGGGAAAAGTATGTAAAGAGCTGGTGGTGCAAACGACGACGAGAAGGTCAAGACGAAGAACGGCCAACCAAACCGAGGGCCAACCGAGGACCAAAATTGTTCACATCGGGGTCCGGGGTCCGAGTTTACGTGTTACTGGCACCGCTTCTAAGTCCACAAAAAGACTCGAAATGTATCCATTTCTGCCAATTCTATACATCATTCCACGCTTCGTTCTACTCTATAAATCCTCCTACACCACACATTTCTTCTTCTTGATCACCTAGACACGCCCTCTATGACCTACGGTACACTCAGTGACATTTCCTTTCCTTTCACCGCGCGAAGCGACTCGTTCAGAGAACTGTGCCCAACCTGTATCAAAACCAAAACCACAAAAGCATAGCATTATCAGTATACAAATAACGTTATTTCGCAGAAGAACGCAAGGTGATCGGAGATACTGAGAGGTAAGGTAGGGTGAACGCCGCGACAAGGACCACCACGGCTATCCCTAGAGCCGTCGCAGCTGATGAAGCAGAGCTCATAGGTTTGGAAGGAGTGATAGTATGAGAACGGGTGGATGATGATGAAGGTCTGGTGTAGGATATGAGCTGTACGTACCCAATAGATTTGAGGCCGTGTATGCTGGAAAAAAGTCAGTGCGTGAAAGCACTCCCAAAGACGCGCACGTACTAGTATCCCTCTAAATTCCTCGTGATTTCGTCTTCCATGCCTTTCGGCACACCATCAAGAGTGAACGTCACTTTCGTCGAATCAGACGATTGCTCGAAAGTCGTTGTCAGTGTTGCAAAGTGCTCTGGCACGATAGAGATTCAGGCGCTTCTGAGATAACACGAAGGAAGAAAGATATCCGACCTGATGGCCATGTAGGACTTTGTAAAGCCCAAGTCTGGACAATCTCCTTGCCTGGCGTCAGTGACACGTACTTTCCCTTGACACCACCACCAAACAACGAGTACTCAGTGTCTGCTTGCGCTGCAGACTACCAAAGCAACCATATCAGCCTAATTTCCTTATGGACGTGCTCCCGAATTACCTGAGCCGGTGCACGAGTCCACGAAGGAATTCTCCTTTCGTCCGTAAAGAGTCCGAAGAGATCGTCTGAAGCTGCCATAAACGTCGCTTCCTTGACCACACTGGATGTGTTAATGTTAGTTTGAGATTGTTTGACGGGGGCGGGTTTTGGAACAGTCGTAGAGGCTGATGCGGCCGTCGTAGCATTTGCCTCGGTAGAAGGAGGTGGTGTACCCGAAAGGCTAGGTGCCCCGCTGACAGTAAGGTCCTTTCCATGGGTATCGACGAGCGCTACAGGGAACTCGGCAAACTTGGCCTCGAGAGCAGATGGAAGACGTGTCTTGACGAAAGCGAAGAGCGCATTGACTGCAGGACTAGAAGCAGTGTCGAGCGTCCAGTTGTACTGTGATCAAAACACTTCAACTTCATAGTCTTCGCGTCGGGTATTGGGAGACATACAACATAGTCCGACAGCTTATCCAGCGTGATTTCATGCGAGACTTCTGGGATACTGAGTTTTCCAGCGACATCTGTCCCATCACTCGTGGCCCCTCGCCAATCTACCTTCATTTGAATGTCGTATATCGTGATCAACCTGAAAGTGACAAAATGATCTCTTCATGAATGCGCAAAATGCAGAGAGAACAGGATGCATACTTTGACTTGCGCTGACCCAGCTCGACATCACCATCTTCGATCCTCACAGAAGAAATCGTGACGTTTCCTTCGGTTCCTTCGATCACGATAGCTGTCAGCTCTCGCTCGAACCATTCCTTTGCCCATGAAGTGACGTTTTTATTTTTCCAGTGCCAGTTTGCGGTAGAACTTGGCATGACCATCTTGCTCAGATTCTTGGTTATAATAATAAAAAAAGATCAGAGGCTGTTGTGCTCGAAGATGAACAGACCAATATAGTAGTGACGACTGTAAGAATTTGAAAGTTAAAGTTTACAAGTTTGTTGTGATCACGACTCCTCCAGAACATTCCGAGTCTCTGGGACACCGGCAACTTCATATTCGCACTGCTCTGCCCTGATCGTCATTTCTACACATCCAAGGCACTGAAGTCTCTCTTGAAATATCATATTCAAACACATTATTCGCATGGCAATTCCGAGAATCGACCGGTCGCCGCGGTCGGCTTTCCTCTCGCGGTTCAAAGCACCAAGCGAAAGTGAAACCAATCAGACTCGTGAGACGTTTAAATGCAGAATTTTGCAGTGCTGAAGGCCATGCGCGCACGAGCCGCGGCTGTTCGCACGATGCCAAAGAGATTAATGGGCCTGTGAGCTGCTGAGCGGCATCATATGTACCCCAAGGTGCACACGACCAATAAAAACGGCCATGTTCAGGATTCGGGGTATGATTCCCGGGAGCTCTGGGTTACAGCCTGAGCTGTATGGCGTTGTGACAAAGATAACACAAGTCATAATGGTGTTTCCAGCGGTGCGGGAGGCTCGGAAGGCATCCCAGGTATGGCTTTATTGTCATCTGAGAAATCAAGTAAGCTAATATAACATCCCGAAGCACAGCGCAAGTGGTCATGGTGCCTGGTATTACCCGCTGTGAAATGTACATGGTATACCTACAGGACTCGGTGCTGCACTTATTTTCAGCATTTGACAGGAAGCAATCGCGCAGTGACGCTGCATCACAGGTGAGTTTAGCGAGACTGTAACTCACTGCAATGCCAACTGATCCTCCCGTTTGACAGCAGCAGGTTTGGGGGATACTAAATCATGGACGGAGGCCATGAGCAAGAAAGTTTCAAGTAACCAAGTGTTTACAGCAAGGCAGAGATGTGGGCTCAGCAGCCACGTGTAGAGAGACCAGCAACCACAGAGCATGTAAGTGCGTGCCTCCCGTTCCTCGCTCCTGCGGAACAAGATACAGAATAATGGCGGTGGAAACCACCACTCACGAAGACGAGAAGTGACGCTTAATTGCCACGAAGACCGGATAGACAGCGTAGCTCTCATCCCCGATTCCTGTCTCCTCGTCGCTGGTTCTGGTGATGAGAATCTTTGAATGTGGGATTTGGACATAGGACAACAAAGTGGGGGAGCCCTTGTTTAGGTTGGGCCACCATGGCACAGTCTGGACAGTTGCAGCATCCCCCTAGTTAGCGCTGGTTTGTGAGCGGTGCGAAGAACGGACCAATCCTGGTCTGGGAAATCGCAACAAAGCAGAGAGCACAGATCTCATTCCAGGGACAGGCATGTCTGGAGCATCGTATCCGCACTAGGCAATGAGACATTTGCCAGTGCATCATCGGACGATACGGTATGCGTGTGGAAGAGGGAGACGGGCGAAATATTCCTCGGATCCCTACATGTGGGCTGTGAGGCATACTCGGTATCGTTCTCCCAAAATTATCGACGAACACATCATTGTATGGAATATTGCAAGTATGTTGAAGATATGATAGTGGGCATAATGAGTCACATTCACTATAGATGGTCTCATGTCGTCAGCGTGAGTGACAAAGACGTCTGAATCTCAGATGCTGCCACCGGAGACATATCAAACAGTTTGATGCGCTTACTGATGAAACCTTCTCCGCATACTTGCCGGTGAACTTCAAAAGGTCTTACCAAAATCACAGAACTCTCATCCAACTTTCGGATTCTTGCTATCTCTCGCCCTGATTATATTTTATTTCGTCTGTAAATTAGAGCTCCCTCATGACGCACATAGTTACGGTTCCATCTAATTTTTCTATGATGCAGAGATGAAATTCCAAAACAAGCTCGTCAGTGCTTTCATATCGTCGTGTCGACAGAGCTTGCAAACACTTCTGTCGTATTCGCAACACGATTTCTCATCAATGCCAGCGCATTCCCCGCACAGATAAAACCCACAGCCTTGGCACCTGAAAACGGTCTGCTTCACTCCTATATTTTCTTCATGCTCCTTACAGTCGTCACAGAGCCCCCCATGTGAGCACAGCTCGCAAGCTCCGATATATGAGCAATTAAAGCAGAAACGCCGGCCACACCCAGGGCACGCATAGGTCGAATCAGGAGCACATGTTGCAGCGAACAACGTGCAGTCAGCGCAAGCCCAGTATCCACCACATGGACAGGTGAAATCATCCTGTGTGATACAATCAGGGCAAGTTCTGATGTGGAGCGGCCAGCTAAACCAGCAATATTCATTGCAACAACGAGCGCCATTTTTTCCAATCGCTATACTTTCCTCTATACAGTGCCTAGTCCGGCAAAATAAGGGACGCGCTGGGTGTGAGCGGGTTGAATCGGTGATTGGTGAGGGAGGTCCGATAATTGGTGAGGAAGGTTCGGTTCCGCGTGTGTCGCCATTAGAAACTGGGCGCCCGATGCACCACTCAAGCTCAGCTGAACAGAACCAGTGTGCGCATATAGGACATTTGCCCATGCGAGGCAGAATGCCCGGACACTCCAAACATGAAGTACAGAATTTCGTCTCGTGATGATTAAAACACCGTACGATGGTGATAGTAGAGGAGGCTTGACAATCAATATTGGAGCAGGAAATGAATCTGCACAAATTGCATGATGTCTGTTTCGATGGGCAGATAGGACAATCCAGAGTGTCATCTGGTAAGTTCTTCGCACCATCTTCGTCGATCAGACCTTTGTCGACAAGATGGCGATAAAATATCTGTACTCGGGAAAGAATGAAATCTGGAATATGCTTACAACTGATTAATTACTCACCTTGACTCTGCTTCGTCGCCATTCTTGCGCCATCTCAAGGCGTTGGGCTGCCTCACGTTTTCGCGTCTCATGAACTTCCCGCATCCCTTGAACAAACATCATCCTCGTGTGATCTCTGAGTTCTTTAAGGACAGACTTATGCGCTGGCCTGAGTGGAATTGTCGGAAGGCAGGTGTAGACGAGGTAGGCAACACTGACTCCTGACTCGGTATGGGAATTAGGCCTCAGGCCTCAGGGGTCAACTAGTCATTGGCGGGCCACTGATGACGTGCACTGCGTGACTTTCTTCGAGGACAGTCACAGCTCATCGTGGAGACAGTAGTTTGCACACAGATATTTCCTCAGAGCAAAGCGGATACGAGAGGGGGGTGTCCATGTCAACGGGCGAGAAATTTGTTCTCTTATCATGTTCTCACGCCGTCGAAAACAACTTGCAAGCAAAGCTTTCACAGTCATCTTGCAATTACCTCAACTTCACCACTCCAACAGACCATTCCAGGCCCAAAGCCTCGACCACAACTCGCTGGACTCGCCATGGGTTCTTCGACGATGCAAGTTTTCGTTTTCATGTCGCAGCAGATTCGATGCACCTCTGACCAGTTCAACACACATTCCCCACCTTGACACAACAACTGCACCGCTACCACCACGTCCCATGAACAAAGAACATGATCAACCATCTTTTTTTCTCACCCTCTGCCCCCCAGAGCCATAGTACCCAACCACCCATACAGGACTCCCGTGCTGGACGTCTCCGTACCGTAAGGGAAATATGTTAGGTCTCTAACTTTTCGAATCCATCTACCATTGACTCGGATGATATTGTCACGCTGATGCCATCAGCGGAAAAGGGCATTTGGCACGGCTACCACGTCCTCATCGCCACCAAGCCCATACTTTTACCGTAGGGGTCTCGAATGCCGCTGGTGCCTCATGCAGTAGCGTGCTACCAGCAAAGACGTTCAATATCGCAGGAGTCACCTTTCAGGCTCCAAGCACCAGTGCGCTGGTTGCGACTGGCAGTCCCCTCGCCCTACCCTGCACCGAACAGGCTCCAGGTATACGATGTTTCGCGATCCTCGCCAAGTGCTTCACGCGTCTTCTGAGCACTCGACATACAGCTTCTCATTCACACTGGGCCACTTGGATTCGTCTACTTCGTTCTACCTACTTCTGTTCAATTGCATCCTCGACATCAACAGTTTACTCCTGCTACATATAGAACTCATGTATTGCCCTGAATAGAGCACACTTCAAACCCCTTCCCAAAGCTTAATGACCTTGACCTGTAGGTTTAAAATCAGATCAGACTTCCTCGAGACAGGGAAGAGCCTACAAAGCAATCCTCGACATGAAATGCATAGATCCTGTTTTCATCAATCGACGACAACAGCAGCTCATAGAGAGAACTGGATATCTTGCTCGACACGACCTCCACATAAGGCAGGGATGTCGTTAACGACCGTCCATCCAAATCTATCGTAGATGGCTCTCTCACCAACCGTCCTAGGCCCTGCCCATACTTGATAGCTAACGGGCTGAAGTCCATCACACGCAAACTGTACTCCAAGGGATCATTATGGTAGGATAATGCACGTTTCACCTTCAAGACTCGACTCCCAGTAACAGAATCAACAATGTCCTCACAGTGCTGGAAAATACGAGTATTCAAAGGGCCCCAATGTTCCCAAGGTATGGCCGTCGACCCCCCATTAATGAAGTCGGGGTCGAAGAAAATCCTGCTAGAAATGACAAAATGGAGGTAAGGTGACATGTTGAGGGATATGATTCGATGGGTTGGATCTGATTTCCACATTTTTTGTGGCATCCCTGGCTCCGGCCTACTTTGTGCACCATTGTCCTTTGAGTTGTCAGAGACGAAATGTGTACCACGTACAGCTGCAGGCAACAAGAAGCACGCGAGCAATTGTGGCACCTGGGACATATCTTCAATGGAATAGACCTTCAAATTGATGTTGGCAATCATAAGCAATCTACTGGTTCTGAGGAAACAATAACCATATGAGATTTGGCTTCCAGACACAGCACTGCTGAGGACACTCTAAACAATCCATCAGTCATCCAGTCTTTCAAATGACAAGGCTTGCTCACATTTGACATTGTCGAGTGTTGCCAGTCCCAAATCTGCAATGACCACAGGATCCTGTCTGGATCGTTGAGTCTCAGGGAGTGCGAGAGAGCCATAAGCCTCCCCAGACTGCAAACCCTCCAACCCTCAGCTTTTGGGATAACATTCTGGGGTTCACACAGCTCTGGTGAGATAAACAGTGTAGGTCCAGCAGCTTGGGGGTGAGCACCATTTCTATCCAAAGGTAAAAGGTCAATATAGACATCCGGCCCATCAAGAACGTGGTATGTGGCAGTGAGCAGGTTTTGTGTCGGGTCCATGAGAATATCATTTAGGTGTGCATTGGGAACTGAGGACAGTGTGTCTGAATGCCATACACGATCAAACACTTGCTGTGAGGGCTCTTGTAATATTGGAAAGATCTCGGAGATGGTCTGACCCCGTAGATAGTCATGATGCAGGGTCGGGTCATCCATGAGGCAGAAATGCCCATTTGATATGGCTGTAATTTTCATGATGTACTTGTTTGAGACATCGACGTGTTCGACAGGTTGAGTGTTCAACTTGAACCATGTGTGAGCTCTGTCCCTCAGGAGTTGTAAATGCTCTGAGATAGTAGGAGTGTTATTGTCAAGAGGGATATTGACAGGAAGCAATTGTTGACCACTGAGTTCAACAATATATTGGAGCTCAGGTACATCTGGTGAAGGTCTCTACATACCTGCAAGACAATTGTCAGTACATAGGGGAGATCAGTGAGAAACAGAAACTCGGGCTTCATATCCTGGTTCATGATAGTGAGTTGAGACTTCAAACTTGGTTGAGACCCCTTTCCCATTTCATATCGGTAGCAGTGCCACCAAGGCCCCGACTTTTCATCTCATTGGAACAACTACGTCCATCCCGATCAAATATAGAAGGTCTTGAAGTGATAGTACAACGAGAGGTATGATACACGTACAGATATACAGCTGACAAGTACAAGCGATGGTAATGATTATTTCCCAAACGTCCAGCTCTGTGGCATCACTTTTCGGTAAGTCCTCCCTCACTGTTAAGCGTGCGCCTCTTCGTTAGCTCCATTGTCGGCATTTCCGTTCTTGTTCTTCCGGCGGATGACAACATATGTGTCGCCCGATTCGTCACCCGAAATAGCTTCGATGTCCCCACCGACGTGGCCCGCACGCTCAGGCTCGATAAGTTTGCTGCAAAGGGGTGAGAAGCTGTCAGGATGTGAAATAAGACGAGACACTGACCGCTCAGCGCGAATCATGTTCAGGTCGTGGGAGACAAGACCGTGTCCGGCTACAGGACCATAATAGGATATTCCTGCAAGGGAGCCGATGATGCACGTGCCAACGAGGATAGAAAGGTAGAAGCGGTATTGGGAATACCATTTTGGTGCTGAGAAGGCGGCACAATTAGAAGGGAAGCACGACCCTGGAACAAGGAGACTCACTCCAACCGGCAGCTGTGACTTTATTATCGGCATACCACAATGCGGTGAATCCAAGCCACTGCCAGAGGAGGGCGAAGGTAGGTTGGAGAGTAATAGTGGACCAGGCCAATACCGCAGGAGAGATGCCGAGGAACAGACGAGGGTAGCCTTTATAGCCGCCCAGACCACTAAATTCCATACCCCAGTGTATTGCACCTAAAAATAACATGAGTCAAAGTATAGAAGTAGAAGTGGAAACACGTGCCAAGGAAGGACAGAAGGACAGCGCCATAGTGGACTTGGAAGTTGAGGGCTTGGTCTAAGATGTTAAGGGCAACGCCAGGGTCCATATTTGTGAGAACACCCATTGTGGCGAGACCTGCTTGGTGCGCAAGATATACGGTAGTGGCAGATGAGGCGATGTATGGGATGCCACCAGTAAGGCCCATGACGAGATAGGGGGTTGGGACAGAGTGGGCGACTGCGGTGGTGATACCGAACTAAATTGGATAATTAAAGTACTATGGTTAATAAGAAGAACGACCTGATGTACAAAGAGCGACGTACGAAAGAGTCTTTTGATGGTTTGACGCTATCTACTGTGAACACGCCACCAGCGATGGAGCGGGCCCAGTCTGTCATCGAGTTCCCGACTTCCTCTTTCACATTCTGCTTGGCGTGCTCGATAGTCTGGCTTCCTGGTCTGCCTGCGACAGAGCTTGCTGCGAAGCGCGCGTGGACTTGTGCAAGGTTTACGGCTGCAGGACGAGCAGTGAATTGGAAAGAGGTTTGAAACTGTGATGAACGGCGAAGGGCGAGCGGGGCACGACGAAGAGCAGCTGTACGAGAAAGTGTACCAAAGAGAGTGTTCATCGTTACAGTCAGATTAGTAGAAAGCGAGGTTTGGTATGAACCAGGCCTTATAGAGCATTCCAAATGACGTCGCGTGACATCATGGAACCGCAAGCATTATACCAAAGTTGGAAGCAGAAATGAAATCACAACGCCCATTCCATCAGGCCGCCGAGGGAACACGCATGACTACGGCAGCTACAGGGGAAGTTGGGGTATATCCTAGCGTGGAGAAGCATCCACCTGATCTTCCCCGCACATCAAACGGACCTTGGTACAATCATTCATACGTGGCCGCCATTCAGACCAATAACCCTGTCATACCCTGGTTCAAGTACTTGGAGGGCGGCCGTGCGGAGTGAAGACGTGGTCCAGAAACAATGTGGATCAGTCTAATAATAGATTCAGTTTCTATTACAGGATTCAGAACAGCAGTTCGGATGAAAGCGATAGGTGTGTCGCTCTATCGTGTTGTCACCCATGGTCTTGAATCCCCCTCCTACATGCTCAGCGCTCACCTCTTGCTTTATGTAACCTTTCCTTCACTTCTTTTACGTTCGCATTTAGTTCAGTGCGCTGTTGACACGTGCGTATCCCTCTTCTATTTCCACAACTGACGTCGTATGCTCTTGAAACACAGGCCTCGGCCTCAGCGCTGCGGCAGCGTTCGCAAGCTTCCTTTTCCCTTTCACTTATCCGGCTCCCATATTGCTTTACTATTTACTGTTCAACAAGTACTGCGTCACCATCATGATCTGAATCCTGCAGTCTGCACAAGGTAAAGAGAGAAAACGGCAAAGAGACAAACTGTCTACCAAGGTTGGACATATTGCCGGCAGGGAAGGTTCAAATCAAATTCAAACGTTCTGCTAGCATGCCATAGTAGGGCGAGTGTTATGTAATCCAAATCATGTTTGTGTCACATCCGGGTCTCGGCCTCTTGAGCATGGGCCGCTAGTTTGAACTTTGAAACCTACAACATTGCCACGATATCAATGTTATTAATGCGCGATACTTCTAGCGCTGTAGCCCATCTCTCAGTCTTCTCCCAACCCCATTCACCCCTACCACATCGATACTATCAAACTCGAAGTTCCACATGGATTCCGATGATAACAGTGCAAGCGGCGATTTTGTGTGAGTCCTCATTTTCGTGTGATTGTATATGAACTGAATACCTTCATTTTAGTCCACTTGTGAATCTTCTCCGGCAGATTATCGAGGTCCTCGAGACTTCCAGCATCGCCGAGGAGAGAGGAAAGGGCGCGGCTTCTAAATTTTGGGCTGCATACAAAAAGATATCTGGCGAATACGACGACAACATGTTAGAGAGGTGTAATGGCAACATGGATATAATAATGCTCTTTGTACGGAAATATATGGTTGATTTTATTACCACCTAAATGAATAACCAGGCTGGTCTGTTTTCCGCCGTCAATACCGCATTCATCATTGCAATGCAGCCCAATCCCGCTGATACCACCAACGACCTTTTGGTACAGTTTATGCAGCACACATGGAACGGATCTTCTGTCGCCCAGCCAGTGACCTTTTCGGCGCCCGTCTCTTACTCTTCTTCCAAAATCTGGATGCAGGTGCTTGCATATATGAGCCTTACATTTAGTCTGCTTGCCGCCTTCGGCGCTGTCTTGGGCAAGCAATGGTTGAGTCACTATAAGACCAATCGTTTTGATCGTGGTCGACTTGGAGACCGATGCCAGCATAGGCATCGCAAGTTTGAGGAGCTAAAAAAGAGGTGGTTCGAACATGTCCTGCATTCATTCCCAGTTCTTCTCCAGATCTCTCTCGTTCTGTTTATTTTGTCCTTGGCAGCTGCCATGTGGATGCAACACCGGATCGTTTCCTATTTCATCATCGTACCAACTGCTTGCGGTGCCCTCCTCTATCTCTACATCGTCGCGGTATCTCTGAGATTCCCTGACAGTCCATTCCAGACGTGGATCTCCTTAGCCATTCTATATGTCCTACGTATTGGCCACCAAAATCATGACGATTCTACTGCATCCGCCATGTCATGGATCTTGGACACTTCGACAAACCCTGACGTTCTCAGTTTGGCGCTCGACCTGATGGTTACCATGTCCAAGCAGTCGCAGAGTATCCTGTCCAAACAGTCGCAGTATGTCTTGTCACCGTCGTTGATCAAGAAAGTGTTAGACATGTTCAGGGCATGTTTCAAGTCTACACCATCAGACCAAGACAACGCAGTGTCATTTGGGAGGGCGTTGATTCACATCTCTTGGAAGCATCATGACATGGCGAAGGAGATACTTAATGGACTCATGCCAGAGTGGGAGCACTGGCAATTGTGGCGCAGACTGTATCTTCCTTCGGCACTGGAACAGTGCCATATTTCATTCCGCCGAATGAAGGATACTGCTTCTGCAGACCTACGGGACCAAGCAGACAACATGCGCACTGCTCTGCGGATGGCGCTGGGTGCTGGCATGGATAGATTTGTCAATCCAGACGAGGAATATGTAGAATTGGTTTGGCGTGGTGAATTCGGATCGGAACTCGATCCCTCAAAGGTTGACTGGCTCATGGAATGCGCGGAACATTACAACAACACCCAAGATTTCGAGGCAGCAGGAGATGCTCTCCTCTTGCTCAGTCACCTCAAGAGCATCAGTCAAGCCTACATCATTCCATTTTTGAATAACAGCCCTAGATCGCATACATTGCGCCATAGCGCACTTCGTGCTGCTTGTCGGGCTGTTGACAGTAACTCGCACTGCGATTCATCTTTCTCAGAGGCTGTCCTGACGGCCATCAGTCCCCCCATCCAGCGTGGACATAATCGCGGCGATTTGTTCGCCAAGGCAATTCGCCTCCTCCAAGTCACTTATTGGTCCCAATATGAACATAGCGAGAGCCTCCGACTTGTAGACTCCCCGCTCATCGACATTCAGCGTCTGATATTCCTTGTGTTGTCGGCACCATCACTTGGCAATACTGTGGAGTTTGGTCAATACTGCGGTGCACTCATTCATTTCATAAATCGAGATACCCGCCCTGAGTCTAAACGTGTCGCTTTACACATCGCTTATCGCATCAGACGAGATCTAGCTATGATCACTGGCACTCCCAATCTCAGTGTTCCAGTGTTTTTACAGAACAAGGTCCTCTCCGTGATCTCCCCAGCCCTATTCACCATAGTTCCACCCCAATTCGATAACCACGATGATTTCTACTATCTCTGTCTCATCTTCACTCTTGCAAGTCATCCCAACTGGCTCCCTCGTTTAGACGAAGATCGTCATATCGAGAGATGCATCACAATCATCCCTGTTTTTCGTGACGATCCTCCTCCATCCTTCTTTTATCTCGCCGGAATCTTCGTCCGCATCCAAGTCGCTTACGGACAGCATCGGTCTCTCGCCATCACCAGACAACAGTGGTGGAACCTGACGAGGATGGCATGGCATGTTGCAGGCCGCCAGTACAACAACGGTTCTGATTCCGACGTTCTGGATGATGGCATTGACATTCTTGAAGCTCTTGTCGCCATCACGAGGTCTAACATGCCACCAGATGCTTCAGATAGCGACCTCGAATTTCTTCGTAATGGGCTGGGTGGCGCGATGAGCAAGTTGGAATCACGAGAATCTCCACCGTCCAACTTGAAGGAAATATTATCTGCAATGAAAGGTTTGAAAAGACTTAAGTCGTCTTAGATTATCGATGCTGTTACCTGTAGGAACTCGCGTATATTTATCCCGAGTTACATCTACACTACCCAAGGCGGTATTGCGTTGCTTGGACTCTATTGTACAAGTTCTTGTGTAGTACTAGACATATGTACGTAAGTCTGCATTTGACAAACCGCTATATCGTAAGATTCGTAACGGCGCTGGCAGTGTCAGTCCCCGACACCTGCTTACGACATCAATTCATTAGTTTGATCAGAAGGTCCTGGTGTTTCTGTGCACCTCCACAATCTCAAAATTTCCTGCAGTGTCGGATATTGGTCTGATCAACTTCTCACTTCTGCAGTGAATGTGCCTGCATCTGGCACACAGAAGGCCTGAAGCTGACGGTGACATGGTGATGCAACTACGACAATGCGAAGGCTTTACCCCTACTGACTAAACTACGTAAATGGTGGCAAAACACCCGCCTGCACCGCCCCCCGCTGGAGGGGTACCCCACTCCACCATTCCCACTAAAGTAGGTGTCGGAAAATATATGACCAGGGAGTAAACTCTGAGAGAGATCATGGTACAACTTATTGTTTCCGACACCTGTGCCATGATGCGCCATGTACAAAATCCTTTAAATCCAGCTTTGAGGAACCATTGGATATCAACAGCATGTTGTTGGCGATGGAAGGGTGGCGATCGGATGGAATCCACAGGAGAAGCTGTCTTTCGGGACCTATAATCCACCCTTCCTTGAGAGACGCTAGGTTGCAAGAGTCTTGAAGAACGGAGGAGGTGGAATGGAGAATACTAGTCAGGTCGGACGAGAAGCTTGTAGGTGCTTCAAAGGCATTGTCCCACACCTGGATTGTTTGGTCATCTGAGCCAGACGTGATACATTGTCCATCTGGCGAGATTGCAACAGACCGAACGTAGTCATTGTGCTTTGCAACTTGGAGAGAGGCACGAAATACACCGCCATTCTCTGCATTCCACACCCGGACGGTATTGTCAGCTGAACCAGACACGATGTGTTTTCCATCTGGCGAGATTGCAACAGACAGAACATCGTCAGTGTGCCCATGGAGAGGGGCACAACACGATTTTCCATTCTCTGCATTCCACACTCGGATCATCTTGTCACGCGAACCAGACACGATGAGAGTTCCATCCGACGAGAGTGCGATAGACTGGACCCAGTCGGTATGTCCTTGGAGGGTACTCAATGCCTTGTGAGTCACTGCATCCCATACCCGGATCGTATGATCGGCTGAACCAGAAACAATGTAGTTTCCATTTATCTGGACGGACTGTACGAAGGCGGTGTGCCCTTGGAGTGGGGCACCGAGTGCCTGACGAGCCCCCACATCCCACACCCGAATCGTCTTGTCATTTGAACCAGACACAACGCGTTTTCCATCTGGCGAGGTAGCGACAGACCGAACGGCGCCAATATGC